GGTGATTTTGGTGATCGATGAAGCAAGATCGCTGCTTGATGAGACGGATACCGGATTGAACTACTTTCGCTTGTTGCGACACGCTCTCCATGACGCCTTCACCGCGAATGGCGGTGTTTTTGGGCTACTGATTGATGCAAATTCAAGAATTTCTGACCTTGCGCCGCAGCTTACGTCGCAATTTGTGTATGTCCCATCTACTCGACGTGCCAGGGGGAATCATTTGGCACTATTTCCGCCTTTTGTGCTAACGCACACGATGGATTTGTTTTGGCGAAAACATTGTGACGAGCAAGCTGTTCGAGGCGGAAGGCTGCGTGATGATGCCAAAATGGTTGTGAACATGGGTGACAAAGCTAGGGAGACTGCTGGTAATATGGCAGGAGGTCAAATGTCGGACTTGGAAGAAATGAAGATGGAGGATACGGCGGATAATGAAAGCAAGGCAAGTGACGATAAAGAAGTAATGGGTATTGATGTAATCGCGTACAAAGACGCTGTGACCGGGAGCGAGCAGAATGCTTGGAACGCGTTGAAGCGAATGGGTCGGCCATTGTGGTACACCTACACCAAGGTTTCAGTAATACGACGTGACGTGGTCATGCTTGCTGCAAAAAAGCTTCTTCTTGGGCAGAATCCCGGATTAGGCGGCTACAAGAAAGAAAACATGTTCGGCGTCGCATCCTTACTTTGTCGAGTGGGTTTACGTCCGTACTCAACATCACCATTGGCGTCTCAAGCCGTCGCCGATTTAATGGGAATTCTTGCGTATGTAACTTTCGAAAAAGAATGTTATGTGAGCAGCTACACATCGGACCCGATGCTCGCCTTGGGTGCGATAGTAGTATGGCATGGACAATACGATGCGTTATCAGAATTTATCCTGCCTCAGCTAACGAAATTAGTTCTGAACGAAGCTCTTGACACTGGTGGTATTGGTAAGGTGGTCGCACGTATTGTGTTGCTTCTCGCTATGGACAAGTGCGTGCTAAGAAATACAGTTTATACCGGCCATTTTATAGCTGTGCATTCATTCTTGAAAGCTTTTGATGTAGAAGAGATGCCAGTATTTACGCGGCAAATGCTTGCGGCACCTAGCGATACAAGAGAAGCTTTTCGGACTTGGCTATCAAAGTGGGATGGGTGGCAAATGGGATTTACCCACTTTGTGCAGTTGAAGTTGGAGCCGACAGTGGAAACACTATGGTGTTTGCTTGGGCGCCGGGCTGCGGGTATATTTCCTCGTGACCAGAAAGGAGCCAATTTGTTGATTCCAATCTTCTGGAAAAAGGAAGACGGCGATGCAGCGTTTGAGTTAGAAAAGAAATCGGACGATGAAATAGACGCGAAGGTTTCATTCATTTTGATTCAAGTGGAGAACCGGTCTCCCCACGACAGTGAATTTCGGAAGTCAGCGACAAAACTATGCCCTTCATTCGTTTTTGGAAAAACGATGAAGAAGTCTAAAAAATTTGTTAAAGATCCCGACAACCCGCTGGGCAAGATAAGTGTCCATGACGTGATTTGTATCTCTATGAACGTGCAAGGCGGGGACTACAAGCATCATCGATTTATTTTCGCGGAAAGAACTAAAGGTGAAAACAAAAGAAGTGATAGAAGGGGAGCTAAGTTGGCGGACACACTCAGCATAGCCAAGCAAAGCACTAGCAAGGAAACAGCTGGTGAGCTCAGGTTTACGCTTTGCTATCGCTCGGTGCGTTGTGATACATACAATTTTTTACATGCGAAAGTGGCCAAGAGACTGGAGAACCTTGCGGAGATTTCGTGGGACTCTTTATCACTTGTGGATGGCGATTTAAAGCATCGCCAAGAGGCGGAGCAATCTGTTGCGCAAGATCGGTATAAGGTACTTATGTCACAAGTGTTGGGAGACAAAGAGCTGAGGGAGATTGCTTGTAAAGGGCTTGCGGATCCACCAGGACGACAAAAAGCTAGCGAGATAGGACAGAGCGAAAAAGGACAAGATCTCTTCAGCCGCAGTCTTTTATTAAGAAGAAATCAAGGCGACCAAAGACGTGATTCGCGCAAATGCCAACGTCGAGTGTAACGCTGGAGTAGGTAAACGGAGCTTGCACTCTCTGATAACATTACATGTGGTTCTTGCGTGTGCGTTTGCGGTGCTGTCATGTTGGGAAATGCAAGTTGTTTCAGGTTTCGTCTGTAGGCTTAGAGGTAGCAGTAGTGCGAACTAAGGATCTACAAATTCTATCTTACATTTTACATGAATGTACAAGATGCTTTTTATAACTTAAACATCAAGCGACAGTGATTGCAATACTAGCACCTCAGCCTGTTTTTGCAGAAGTTTATGTTGCAATCTCCTATGCGTTAGCTTTGAGTAAATAGTACCGTGTTCTTCTTGCCTTTGGATGTGTACTTCTGACACACAATTAATATATTTATTTAGCTGGACGACTTGCTTCCAATTCCAGACTAAGTACCGCGCTTCGAGCTACCGTTCCACGGCTCTGTCCTTCAATGTCTGGTCCCTCGTTATTCCAACTGCCAACTGTCACAACTCGGTGGCATATGACAACAGTTTATTCAGGCACTGCCATTTACAGCCTAGCAGAATGATAAAAAAAGATCAAACCAGACCTGTAGCATTATCACATAGTACAGAGTGTCAGAGGTATAAACAAACAGAAAAGCGTGTGCACTTGTGCACGCCATATGAGCAGGGACGTGTTCTTTTAGCATGTTAATGTGATAACGAAGTAGATGTGGTGCACACCATGTTTGTAGGTCAATCATCGATCGGTCACAAAATCGTGAAAAGTAGTGCCCCTTCGTTGTATAAAGTGCTATATGAGTGCGTTAGTGACTGTAGCCACATGTAACCTGAACCAATGGGCGTTAGACTTTGATGGTAATCTAGAACGTATCATTGAGTCCATTCATATAGCGAAGGAGCGTGGTGCACGCTATCGTGTCGGTCCAGAGCTAGAGATTTGTGGCTATGGCTGTGAGGATCATTTCCTCGAGCAAGATACATTCTATCATTGTTGGCAGTCGCTCGAGTTCATTCTACGCTCAGACGTGACAAACAATATCTTATGTGACATTGGTATGCCAGTTATGCACAACGGTGTGCGCTACAATTGCCGCGTCTTTTGTCTCAATCAGCGCATTCTATTGATTCGTCCCAAGCTTTTTCTTGCAGATGACGGAAATTATCGTGAGACACGCTGGTTTACTACATGGAAACCTAATCAAGGTGCAGGCAAGTCATGTGGTCTTGATAACTTTGTGCTGCCGGCTACTCTGCAGAAGCTTACAGGTGTGGTGCACGTGCCATTCGGTTCCGGTGCTGTATCTACACTCGACACATCGTGCGCGTCGGAGGCTTGCGAAGAGCTTTTTACACCTGACAGTCCGCACATAAACCTTAGTCTGGCTGGTGTGGAAATTATTGGAAATGGCTCGGGATCGCACCACCAGCTGCGCAAGCTTGACCAACGGATGGACTTGATCCGTGGAGCAGCTACCAAGAGCGGCGGTGTATATCTGTACGCAAACCAACAGGGTTGTGATGGCGGTCGTCTATACTTTGATGGCTGTGCTGTTGTTGTGGTGAATGGTCAAGTGATTGCACAGGGCACACAGTTTTCAGTGAAGGACGTCGAGGTGGTTACGGCAACAGTGGATCTGGATGATGTGCGGTCATACCGCGGCTCTGTTAGCAGTCGTAGTGAGCAGGCAAGCTCGTTGGACACTGTGATCCCCAAAGTTGCCGTCGATTTTAGCTTGTGCCATGACGAAAAGTCATTTACTCAACCTACTACACCTGCCATTGAAGTTAAATATCATGTACCAGAGGAGGAGATTGCGCTTGGTCCGGCATGCTGGCTGTGGGATTATTTGCGTCGAAGCGGAGGTAGCGGTTTTTTCTTGCCTCTTTCAGGCGGTGCGGATTCATCGTCTGTGGCATGCATCGTCGGCGTGATGTGCCATCTCGTGACTAACGCCGCCAATGAGGGTGACGAACAAGTTAGAAAAGACGTTCAGCGGATTATGGGTACGTCAGACCAAGTGTATCAACCACTGACGCCTGCCGCTTTGGCTTCACACATTCTCCACACTACGTACATGGGTACAAAGAATAGCTCGGCTGCCACGAAAAAGCGCGCTGCAACTCTCGCAAGCGAGATTGGGTGCTATCATCTTAGCATGGGTATGGACATGATGGTGGATGCTGTTGTCAAAACTTTTTCCCTTCTGACAGGCAAGACACCTCAGTACTTTTCTCGAGGAGGCACTATGCAGGAAGATTTGGCGCTTCAAAACATTCAAGCGCGCCTTCGTATGGTGATGGCTTATCTTTTTGCCCAGCTTTTGCCGTGGGTGCGCTCAAAAACTGGCTTCTTGCTCGTGCTCAGTTCCGGTAACGTCGATGAAGCGTTGCGTGGATACATGACCAAGTACGATTGTAGCAGTGGTGACTTGAACCCGATTGGCGCGGTGTCAAAGGGCGACCTGAAAAAACTTCTGCGTTGGGCAGCTGTTAACTACAATTATCCCTCTCTACGGACTGTTGAGGAAGCTCCTCCAACTGCGGAGCTACGTCCCACCGACGACAATGCTGACGAAGATGCTGACCATTCTCAGCTGGATGAGGATGACATGGGCATGACATATGAGGAGCTAGGTTTTTTCGGCCGGCTGCGTAAGATTGACCGATGCGGTCCCTATTGGATGTTTCGCAAGCTCACGCACTTGTGGAGTCACTTGACACCCACTGTTGTCGCGACGAAGGTGAAGCGATTCTTTTTCTATTATTCTGTTAACCGCCACAAGATGACTACGCTGACTCCTTCCTACCACGCTGAGAACTACTCTCCCGATGACAACCGATTCGACTTGCGCCCCTTCGTCTACAACTCACGTTGGACTCGCCAGTTTAACTCCATCGATACGCATGCCACAAAGCTGGAAGAGAAAAAGGAGCAGTGATCCCGTCAGATTAAAATTGCAGCTACTTACGGGCTTACAGCCTGTTTACTAGTTGCTGAAGCAATAGCGTCATTGATGTCCTTGATATTGTCACCATCGAGAACTAGACTTGCGATTGTTGGTAGTAGCATTGCCGTGTTGATCGGTGACTGCGGGTTTGAGGTGATGCTGTCTTGCCGACAAAACGAGAATCCACGAAACAAGTTGCTATGTTCTTCAATAACTGCTTCGCACATCATGTCTAGAGCTGGCATTTCTGTAAATTTCTTGTCAAAATTGCTTGTGTCAGCTTCATCAGAAATGCTTGGTACTCTGGGAGGAGGGATGCGCAGAGTTTCCATCTTCTCCCAGTTCACTGGCTGTAGCAATCCACTACATGATTAATTTAACTTCGAAATGACCCTCGTATGTTGCACGCACCTTGAAAAAGGGGTGGCGTTTAAGAGCCTGTACTCCCTTGAACACAAACATGGAAGACTTGCCCCCGCCAAGTCTTTTGCTCACATTGCGTTCCAAAAGGGACTTGATCAGCGAGTGAGCTTCACTGGACAGCCATCGTGGCAATTGGAGCTGTACAATATGAGTCACATGAAGCGGATAAGTCATCCGCCGCCACTTTCTGTTCCGCATCAAAAATAAGCTGACCTTGGCTGAGAGAATTTTTTTTGTAGGTCTGCGGGATTTTTTGATTGAAATGGAGGGTTTCCGGTCAGCATTTCGTGCGCAAGAGCACCAAGTGACCACCAGTCTACAGCCTGTTTACACAACGTCAGTATTTTGGTAAGCCGCACATTTTGCGATATACGTATCTTACAGAATCATACCCCTTGCCGAGTAGCATCTCTGGTGCCATGTATTCTTTTGTCCCACACACTGTCAATAAGTCCTGTCCTTCGACGTACTCCTTTGCCAAACCAAAGTCAGTCAGCTTGATATGCCCTTCGACTGAGATGAGAACGTTTTCGGGTTTTAAATCACTGGTTACAATACAATAATGTAAGATCTAGCACACAACAGTATACAACATGGAATAATGTAAACCGGTGCGTGATGCCGTGTCCGTGAAGATGTTCCAATGCTAGAATCATTTCGGCCAGGTAGAATCGAACGGTGTCCTACCAAAACAAAAGGAATATAATGGTCAACAAGATTTCAAAATATGACAGCAAATAGACTTGTGGCCTACCTCGGTGAACGTGCCTTCTTCTTTCAAATAAGAAAATAGTTCTCCACCCGGCTGATACTCCATCACGAGATAAACCTTTGAATGCTAACGCCATTAATATAAATGCTTCATACCCGTGAGCAATTTTCCATACTGCGTTACCTTTGACTCCGTTTGAAAAGCATAATTCAGCCCGATCACGAAAGGGTGGCGCATCTATCAACGCGTTCGTATCGTGATGGAATGGTGGATGGGTGGTATAAGTTATTAGGATGACACGAACTAGCTCAATAAACAAACAAAAAAGGCAACCAAACCTTTGTCATGACATCTCGTTCCGTTTTCATGTAGTGCAAGCTGTCCATATCAATGACAAACTTTTTACTGATGATCTATTACACCCAAATAGACACTTCCGTATAAGATACTGAACTTCTTTGTATAATGATCAAATGAATGACAAATTAACTAGTGATACCCCCCTCCATCAAGATACCTTCATTGCGTGCACTTTTCCAGTAGTAGAATGTCGCACCAATAGCACCTTTCCAAATGCACCTTGTCCAATGACACTAAGCAATCGAAAATCTGCTAAACTGACGGATTTCTTGTCGCCTGAGGTTCGAATCCTACACATCAAAATAACCACCTCCCATCATGAGCTACTAATTGCAGCACAAATTTCACAAAAGTGTCAACAATACTTGCAGCAATTTCTCGGGCTCGCCACTAAGATCTACCGGTTTTTTCCCAATGCGAAAACATTCCTTACACACTGGACGAGGCAAACGTCGCTGTCCGCCGTGAAATCTACTCATGGCAAATTGAAATCAGTAGATATACAATACTTCTGAATGCTAGCAAGAGACGTTACAAATACTGTTCGTACTTGTTAAAACCTTTAGTGGTGCAACAGGCGGCGCAGAGCGGCATTGTCACGAGGTCAAGTGCGATGGAAAAGAATGTCGTCTACATGCATAATGGACATTTTAACCAATCCTGAGTATCTCGATTGTTATTAGCTGAAAAGTTAATGATACTATTATCAAAGTGCTTAACTTGAACAATGGGTTTACTTCCTATACAATATATGTATCGAAACAATCATTTCGTCGGACTCTCCTACGAAAGAATCTGACGGAAGGTATTTGGTATTTCAACTGCGTTCGATAGCGGAAGACGATCCATATATTTACATGAATCAGAATAGCGTTGTTACAAATGGAGTGCTATAAAATGATGATGTAGTATCGAAGAAACGCTGAGCATGTTTTGTGTTTCGGACATTGAGATCCTGTTTGCATAAGCGACGATGAATGACTGGCGTATTTTCAATAGCTCAGTGGCTAACATCCTCTTCTTCTATTCGTCACGATGATTATCAAATAGTCACGCATTTTGTTAAAGTGCTGTTTTCCTGCGTTTGGTGGCGATCATCTTTATCATAATGATCGATATCAAACACGTGACCAACACCATTCTGACACCAGTTTTCTTAACGAATGAGTACTGTCGATAACGTCTAAGGCCTCTGGATATTATGAATTGAGAGTACGACTGGAACAGTAATATATACACATGGTAGTACCTAATAGGTTTTGCGAGACTATAGCTTTCGTTCGAGCCACATCAGCCGAGATGCGCACTTGTGTTTTGTGAAGCAAACTATTCGACATCAGAAAAGTGACAGCAGCATGGCACGTGATATTGTTCAATTCAAAAATACTAGTATACCCGAAACAAGGAAGTGCGTACCAACCATTTCTGAGGAAGACAAAAAAGCCCTCAAGTCTTTACTGGACATTCCTTGTCGTTGCTAGCTCGAGTTTTCGTCATTCTCGTCTTGAGGTGAAGCGTGATTTATCGGTACATTTTCCTTGCCTTCATCGGTACTAATTCTCTCCGACTTCACGTAAAAAAACATGTAGCATGACTCCTGGCTTCGGTACGATTGTAATGCATAACCTTCTGATATCTGAAATACATGGAAACCGGCAGCAGAAATTGTGAAATCGACGAAAGTCGTGTAGGTCGAAAATATGTGCGTACCTTCGACTCATGCGTATCGTTTCGGCGAATCCATTGACCCTGGGCATCGCATACGTCAGCGACGTAGTGTCCTTCATCAATACTCTTGCCTAAATGATGAATGACACTCTGCATCATGCACAAGCACACAATTGACACTTCGAACAAAAAAGCTGTGGTCATGCAAAGTAGAACGTACTTTTAACACGTATCGCGATTCCTGCCCCGATGAAGTAGAACTGTTGACCGAACGAGTCGGATAAATTACAGCAGGGGGTACCACCGGGTCGCATCGCTTGAACAAAGCACCAGTATGAGGATTTACCTCAAAGCGCTTCAGATGCAAAACGAGTACCGATGGCAGTAACTTGACCCGATACATTGACTCTGCTTCCTTGCCACCTTTGCACTTCTCGCAAGTTAGCTCCAACACCTCCGTTTCAAATTGCTTCTGAAGCAGAGTGTCTAACTCAATCGGAGCTGGTCGCGCTAACCAGTCATTTGTAGGAGTCGATAGAATCGATTTCGTCCCTATGTCCGCCATTCTTGTAGGAGATTGAGCGCATCCTTCATTCTCTGCAAGCTTTTCCCGATAACTGCAGGAGGACTTTGGACAGCAATAGTAGCGCTCATTACCCTCCCCCGCTGACACAGGAGTCAGGTTGCAGAAACACTGTCGTTCAGGCGACGGTGGCGCTTGAGGCTCCTGCTCTGCCGTGGGTTCTAGACCTGGAGCAGGGTAGTAAGGCAGGTCAAGCGAGAAATCATAAAACGTTTCGGCCTGCTTTCGACTGTATCCACAATGTCGGCAGGTCAACGTCCGGTTCAATTCCGCCCGAAAGCATTTTGCCGGCGGCAGCCGACAAATTAATTCCAGATCAGCTTCAGCCGACTTATTCTCTGCCTCATGCTTATTTTCATTCGCCTTGGTTCCGTTGCGAAAAAAAGTCAAGAGACTGCTCCTCTGTACATGAGGGGACGACGTAGCCTCTGTCTGAATTTTCTCCGTCACTTCACGAACCATTTCCACAAGTTCTTTTTCATACTCTGTTACGAGATTTAGCAAAAACTCGTGTGCGTCCTGCTGGAAGTGGCTGCACCAATATTCATGGTATACGGTCAGAACGTGAATAGCACCACCTTAAGTAGATAAGCAGACGTACCTTGCAAAGATTGAGTTACTCTTTCCCATCACGTTCTTGAGAGGTTCCGGATTGATTGATGTCTCACTGCCGTTAATCACAAGCTGAAGCAACTGACTCAATGCGTGCTGCAGCGGAAGATGTTTAGTGTCGCCACTGTGTCGCCATTCCTCGAACACGGTCTTGAGTTGACCCATTGTCTTGACCCTAACACTTGGCTGAGGCTGTTTTCGGATGACCTTAAGCAGATTCTCCTCATTTTGAACAGCTTCCACGAACTCAGGAAGAGCTGCCAATGCTTGCACAACAGCATTCATGTAGCAGTAGTTCCCCAAGTTCAACAAGCCGTGCGTGCTCCTAAAAATTCCATCTGTCACTGAGTCATCAGGACTGGTATTAGTAGCATCGGTATGGTCCGTTTCCACTGTAGCAACAGACTCCATTGACACATCCAATGCTCGAGTGGTACCGCCGCAATTAGAACTTTGGGGCAAATTTGTTTTGAAAAAGTGAGAGGTAATTTTCGTCTTCGCTTCTACTTCGAGCTCCTTGGCAGTCGATTCGTTGTCCATCATCAATTGAAGTGAGCGCACTCGCTTGCTTATCACACCTGTCATTGGCTTCCGGCGGCATGGTTCTCCAGGACTACCACTACCATTCTCTGTATTCTGTGTACTCTGGCTTTCCAACGTATGGCTGCTGTGCCGTTTTAAATCTGACCGAGTCGGACCGCTCCGCAGCTTTTGTGATCGAGCAGGACTGAGCCATTCACGTGCTGGAGATCGCAACGACGGTGACTTGAAGTCCTCTATCCTATCTGAAGGGCTTTGTGAAAGACGCGCTTTCTTGCGAAATGGCGACCGAAATGGTGACCGCAACGGGGAGGTTAGAGATGAAGTCGACCCCTTTGTAGTGACCGACGACGGTGATGGGAGTGTCACTTGCGTTGCTTGTGGTATACGAATGTCCGCTAGCGGACTGCGTTTGACCGTTATGGATGACTTTATAGCGGGGTTCCTAGGCAGCGTAGAAGGGCTCTTTAATGGGCTCTTCAGCGTGTTAACGGGTGTGAAACCCATTACTTGACTCAGCTGTTTGCGAATCTTGCGCTTTTTCTGGCGAATCTCTGCGCGCGATTTTTCGTCCATCTGATCCTTCAGTTCTGCGTAGAATTGCCTGCCAGCAGTGTCCAACGGCACTGAAAACACAAAGCGCCGCTTATTGTTCTCCACGCGCATGGTGCGAGTGGGCATCGAGTCCAACGTCGAGTCCTTGTGGGTCAGCAGACCGTTTCCAACCCACAACACAACATCACCGCTCACTAGACGTGCATTGCCGACTTCTTTGCGCAGCACGAGGTCCCTCTGGAGTGTGGTGCGGGTAATCGCGCCATCATCACCTGTGACCTCAAGTACCACATTCCTTACGCACTAAGAAAAACAATATAGACGGAGAATACATAGTTAGCATCGTATATGATCGTCTGTTATTGTATAAGCGCACAAACTCACGTATATTGAAAGATCCACCATAACCTGTTGTCTTATGTGCTCGGCGGAACGAGGCGAGGTCAGAAGTCGTTGGGTTTTGGCGGTAGTAGGGTGCTTGGCGGCAAATAGGAGGATGGATCATAGGGTTTGTGCCAATGAAGAGACTGCTTTTCACAACTTTTGACCAATCACATTCATCCAAGAACCTCGACTGCTCACTTCAACTTGTTCAATTTTAAACTGGGCGACTACTACTACACTTACAGCAAGAACTAAAGGAAGACAATTTCCGCCTTGAATGATGACGTTCTGCCAGCTCCATGACCACGACAAAATCCTCCTCCTTGGCTGCTCTTTGTGCATCCTTCTGCACGGCACCTTTTACCACCTGAAACAAACACAAATTCCCATTAGAGACAATGTAACCTCATTATGATGTGCACAGACGGTGTACCTCCGTGACTTTTGCAAAGCCCACGCGACTGAGCAGAGTTCTGGCATCCTTCACTTGCACATCTCTTGCCTAGCTCACAGACCCATACAAGCAACGTTTAGTGAGACTGACCAGGTCTAATGCTGCGCAATCATAATCTCACCTCCGCCGTGCGCGATGCAGAATCCTCCGCCTTGGTCGCTGCGAGCGCACCCGGAATAGGTGCACCTTTTTCCACCGCCATGGCGCTTACACAGTCCCCTCGAGCGAGCACCTTTCGTGCATCCGGGAATCATGCAGTCTTTCGACTTTCTGTCCGATTTGCATTGAGGCCGGGATGGAGTGTCAACTTTGGCACTTAATGGGTGTCCATTCCATGAAACTCGCTTGCGTCGAGTACCTTTAGGCTTGGTATTCTGTGGTACTTCGAACTTGAGAGATCGGCTAGCAGAGCGAGGTGGTGGCCTTTCCAAACATTTCCTGGTGACTGAGCTGTTCCGTCTTGTTGGTCTCTTGTTTTTAACGAGTCGTTCAGCAGTGAAAATGTAGTTGCGACGGTTATACTCCGTGAGGGGTTGCTGTCGAGGAAACTTTTCACGTAAACCGGGACGCCGCGGCATATTACCTACCATCAGACCAGAAGACAAGACAAAATCAAAGAGGCGTTAGACAAAAAAGTAGTACAAGCATTTGCAGACTGGGGGGTGTACGTTGAGGATGTGCGATGGGTTTCAAAACTGTTGAATGCTCCACAGGAAGAGTATTCAGCGATGGCAGCTTTGGTATTGCTGGACTGCTGATAAACTCTGTGCCTGTGAGGTCAAGCTCTTGATTGCTTTCCATCCGACTCTGTATCTCGATGCACGCTTCAACATCAGGGCTCACGTAATCTAAACACTCAGTCTGCTCAAGTAACTCTATCCACTCGAGTGGGTCAAGACTTGAAAAAAGTAAAAAACAAGCACGATCGCACGAAGATCAATGATACCAAACACCTGCGGCGCAATTCCTTGACGAGATAATGTTACCGTCGTTCGTTGAATAGAGGTACCGCAGCATCTGGAACGACAGGATGATCGATAGTAGTAGAAATTGGGATCCATGGGAAGAAAATGTTGTGGTCGCTCGGGGACATTCCTGTCCTGGTCAGCATTGAGCCAACGCGCTGCTGGACCCTCAGCTCGTTCGAGATTGTCTCATGTTGGAAGCTAGTTTGTGCTGACGACACATTTGCATGAAGTTGCTTGTCTCTTTGCTCCATTGTGCGCAATGACGTGGTGCAGGCGGAACGCAATTGATTGGTCTATCTGTCTTCTCAAAAAGAAAACTCAAAGTGAGACCACATATCTTGCAAACTTCGTCTTTATCGTCAACCTTATTTGTCAGTCGAGAAAGGACGCGTCTCACTCAGGCATACGAATCGCTTTCTACGTGCCGTCTTTTCTCGAGTTTGTCGCTCCAGCCACTTTGCATCACGACGAAACCAGGTGAGAACGAGTGACATGAGCAACGCACAAAGGGCGACACGTTTCCATTCTGTACAAATTAGATAAACAAACAAGCAAACGAGCTGAGATGAGCAGCGTGATATGCAGAGTGAAGCAGCGCGGTGCGTAGAGGGCTCAGCTTGAGTTAATCGTGCAGTCAGCAAAGTACTTTCTGTTGGAGTGATGGTCGTCGCAAGTTGAAGTTATGTGAGCCACACTAACTTGAAGTGGCGTCCACGACAAGAGTATATCAAATTAGCACTTTCTTCTTGAAAAAAAGCTTTTCTTAGATCGTGTGATATGATGAGATTTTTGCATTGAATGCATTCGTATGTTTGCTGTGCTGGTGTGTCTGGTATTTATTTGCCAAGTGTTTACTTGCTTTTAGACGACTGTACAATACGATCATTTGTCAAGATTTGTCAAATGAACCGCAAGTTGAAGCGGCAAGTCCATTGATAATGTGGTTGATCAGTTTTTGCGCGTCAGCAGCCGACTACGTTCAGCTAGAGCTCACTAGTCTGTGCATTCTAATTCCCATGAGGTGTTATGCTTTTCAAAGAAACCAGGTGGCATAACTGAGATTTCCGAAATTTAATTCATGACTCACTTGTGTCAACCTTCTAGGCCCTGGCTTAAGTAAATTCGATCCGACACAAGCGAAATCGACCTTGATACGAGTAAGATTTACTAACTTCGGACCAAGTACATGGAGAATGGTCTTTTAGATGACTTGTTTTCCGTAGAACAAAGCAGCTTTGAGCTACGAGGTTAAGCAACATGCCTACTTTGCGAGATATTTATGCAATGCTCTGGATGCGCAGTAGTCACACAGATCAGGCAGGGAAATCGCCATATACTTTCAAGACAGGTAACTGTGACGCAACTGCCACGTATTCTTTTCATTTGATGCTGCACCCGTTTCATGCTGCTTCACTTCGCCTTATCGAAGCAAGCGCCGTCACTCTTCCCTCTCGTAACACACCATGGTTTCTCCTTATCAATTACAGCACATATCTGACTGGTCAAATCTGATCTTCAATGACTGTGGCATCTCTATTGGACATTCCGGTAGCCGTTGCAATTTTCGTTTGAAGGCTTATTGTCATGTATATGCAAGTAGGAGGAGCTTCCGATTCCTGAGCGCATATTACACGAGCTTCGCAAGACCAAAAGTTACCCTTTTCGCATCAATTTAGCAAGGCCGGTAACTTTTGGTCTCGTGATGCTCTATCTCTATACATAATCTGATCGACCTGGCAGAAGATTGGCAGGTTCACCACGCAATGTTAGTGGGTGGTCTCTCAACGATCAAGATTGCACATCATGTACCGGACTTGCTATCATCGCATGGATGGTATGAGCTCTGTTGACACAGCAAGCATTGAAAAAGTCGTTGCATTATTTGCCATAGCTCGCACAAGACACGTTGATGACGCTTCTTGCACCAGCTGAGGTCGAAGCACTTGCAGTAATTGCTAGAGTTTAATAATCGTAAGTAAACGCAAAACGCGACAGCAATATCGAACATAATCAATAATTAGAGCAAATAGCTGTAATATTAAAACGCTTTTATCGGACTTTTCAACCGGTGATACTTGTTAGAACTCCTTGATATAAACGGTTTAATAATATTAAACAGTGAACCATGGATCTTACGACGGCATGGCAAGAATTGGCGCGTTTTCAGGAGACAAGCATCGCGACTTCCGCTCATATCTATGCAAATACGCAAGAACATGCACTGGTACAGGATTTTTTGACGAAAGTTCCAGTTGCGACGCTTTTTGCGTGTCTACAGGATGCTAGCGACCGCGGATCAGACAAGGAAGTGAGCATTTTAGTTGTTTACACGGCTGATAGCATTGCTTGTTAAGCAAAAGTTTTGGTGTAATCAGGTTAAGCAGGTATGCACTTGTATCAACCGTGTGCTAAGCTCTGAGGACGATGGCACGAGTCTTTTCTTTCAGCCAGACGTAAGGAAGCATTGGAAAAGCGATTAATTTGCCCCTTATCTGACTCCTTATTGTCCGATAGATGGTGCCCTATTTACTGGCAGGTCTAACACATGCGGAGAAGGAAGTAAAAGTTCTCGTCGTGAATCAGTTTATTGCACACGTAGGCAGAAAGCCATCGCTAGATCAGGTCAAAGTTGTGGTAAGAACTGAAGATAGTTTGGATAAATGCTTGGCAGTGCTTAGAATGATTTCTATTGCTGGAATATATGATGCAGGCAGACCCGCTGGTTCTGGAGCAAGTGTGCAGTGTTGTTGCAGAAGAAGATATTGAGGTTGCTGCAAAGGCCTCAAAGGTCCTAGAAATGGTGCGACTTGTTGTGTATCCGATGGAGCTGCAAGATATGTCGTCGCTAACGTTTTACATGGTGGTTCGCAGCTCTCAAGCATTCCCGACAGCGAAATCTACCAAGAAATACTAAATTCACTCAAAAGCAAAGCGCAACGCAGGTTTGTCGAACACGTCACTACGCTGCCAACGTCACTTTGTTCTTACAGCACCCGAAACTGATACCTAGTTCTTTGCTTAGTGACAGTACGGAGAACTCGATCGAATTTATGCGATATCTGGAAACAATCGTAACGATATGCAGACAAGACGATGAACACATGAAATATGGAATTTCCTTGGGTGCCATCGATCTGGTAAGTTTTTGACCACTTTGTCATACACTTTCAGCTGACAGACTCAATTGTGTGATGGAAAGGTATTAAACTGCTTACAATCCAATGACCCGCTGCTCTTGATGAACATTGTCGACTTACTGCCGGTGGTTTGCGAAACCAAAATTGGTGTTCGGTATATTTTTGAGTCAGGTTCGTACACGTGCTTAAATCCATGGGCTGCCTCGTACGATATGTAGTGCTTGCACTTTGACAAGCTTCTCATGGTACACACTACAGGAACGTTGAAGACACTGTTGACCATGACAAAAGGTAGAATGTTCGACCTTTTTTTCTGCACCTACTGAACTAACTCAAACCATTATAAGATTCATTTGTTGGAGACAACGCAATTCGACTGGTAGGAGAAATATCGGCTACAGCAGCCAGGTTGAACATTGAGACATGGAGTTGGAGTGATGCTATGCTTTCCAAAGCTTTTATGGAGACCATAGAAAGTAAATTGCAAAGCACGGATACGCTACAACAGATTGCAGTGATGGACGCGTTGGCTGCGTTTGGATCCTCGTCAGACAAAGGTTCGCGTGTTATATCTCGTTTTGTCACTTGTTGCCTTGACTGCCTTCTTTAACTGAAGTGTGATGATGTGGTTGAAATGCCAAGAACTCCAATTTTTGCTGCAACACCGAAGCATTTGTCAAATGTGGCTACAGCTCGGCAGCAGTACAAAGATACCTGTGAAGACCAACTGTTTCCACTCAATCGGACGCGTTCTCGGTGCACACACGCGGCTTGCAAAGGAACCCACTCAAGTACCGGACGAGAACGCAGGTGTTTGGAGCATGTGCGAGCGCTTGTTTAACAGTCTTGGTGCTGAGTGTGCACAGCAGTCGACAATGCTGTTTCTAATGAACACATTGAAACAGCCATTTGAGGAGCTCCGGACATCCGTGTTCCACGTGCTACGCTCAACGGCAGCGCAGAACAGTTCATGGGGTATACGTGTGTTACTTTCTTATGGTGGTTTCTTTGAGTTTCTCTTGGATCGTACAACTGAACCAACGAAAGAGACGCGCGAGTGGAAATTTGCTGTGCTCGACGCCGTTCTTACCTCCCCGTTTCAGTCGCAATTGGGTACGATACATTTTTTACTTTCAAGGAAAGAAGACTCTCTTTTAAACGGTCAGACTAACAGTGTCGGTTTCGCGTCGTCTCATAAAATTTTCATCGTATTGTTGTTATTTGTTGTTGTCATATTGTAGACGCATCGTTGTTGGAAAACTTGAAGGCAAGTATGCGTCGTGGTCCCTATGCTGGAGCGACGGCCCCGGTAGAATTGGTACTTGACTCGGCGTAAAAACTCGACCGAAAAATGTCGTTTGTTGCAGTCTAAAAATGTGTTTGTTGGAGTGTGTGAATCTCAAACATTTTCGCCAATCCGATCATGTCATTTTCTTAATTTTTGCAATAATAGTACGTCATTTTGTCAGACCGCAACTTTCCCTCTAAAGAGTCACGACGACATAGTCGACAAGCGTCTTGGTGAGCAACACTGCGTTATGGAAGATCCAGGACGTGCTGCCTTTCTGTGTAGCAATACTGCTGCTTTTCACCCTCCTCTATGGTCTGTTTTAATGCTTGTTACGGCTCTTTTGAAAGTGTGTTTTATCATTAATTGTTGTGTTTTGTTTTTGTTTCTCATTCGAATGTCTCGTTGTGTATGGTCATTTTATTTATTATTATAGGGCGTGTATGCCTATAGAAACCAATTCACATGCAAGATTAGACGCTTTTCGTGATGGTCGACATTGTGCTACGTACATGGTAGCAACACAGCGTGTGAATCTCTTTGGTCGTGACCAGGGAAGCTGTGACCACGTGTTAGGCAACCCTTCGGTTTCGCGAAAACACGCGGCTGTGATTCATGATAATGAAGGCGGTATCTACGTGAGACAAAGCTACCGCTGCTGCTGATGATGTTTAGACTATTCTGATGCACTCAAGAGCTGAACGTCGTAATGATACTGTTTTGCGTCTGTAGATCGTCGATCTCATGTCACGGCATGGCACGTACGTAGGCCGCAAGAAAATTCCACCACACGATCCCTATTTGATACACGGTACACGCAGTTATGACGATGACCACGTTGTATGTGGAGCTCATTATTGTATTGCTGTTGCTAGACGGAGATGTTATCAGGTTTGGACAGAGTGTACGTGTATACATTCTCAAAGGCGCCGGCTCAGACGGCAACAGCGCTCCTGTAAAGAAATCGTGGGGACGAAAAATACGCGTGCCGCGCGTCAGTATCAGTGCAGTAGTACCGAAGAGAAATTCGAGCAAACCAAAAGCTTCGTCGGCAGTAACGAAACTCGTGAATGCAGTATGTTATGGCGCACTCAAAGATGAGAAAGTGGTAAATTTTATTACTGGGGTGTTGGAGCTTGGTGATAAAGATAGACAGGTGCGAAACATCACGTGAATTGTTTGCCTTTCACATACACATGCCAATGACTTATTGTGCTTGGTTTATTGCGGCTTAGGGAGTGGCAGACACGCTAGTGGAGAGACTTCAAGCCAAATTTGAGTTTTATGCTACCCATGTACGTTGTGCACTTCTGACGTAAAAGTAAGGTTGTTTACGGAGTAGGGTTGTTCATGGTCGATGACTTTGAACTTTCATGATTGCAGGTTCACCGCAACGCATTTGTTGCTACTATGGCTCTTCTAAAGCAGAACTTGTGCGTCGAGGAGTTTGAGGAGAATCTGGACGTTTTCACCCATATTTCTCAACAGCGGAACGATAACATTTATCGCGCTGATGCTCGCAAGCTTTTACAAGCGATTGCTGCTGTCCGGTTGGATCCAGATAATCCGCAATTCATTGATGTGGACTCTACTGAAGAGGATGTTGGTTCTGCTTGCCCAGTCACAGTAAATAATCGAGAAGGCAGAGAGCGGTCTATCAGTGAAGAAGGAAACAAATTAGAAATGACTGATCATGGCATTTTATTCCCTGGCCGTACAGAATCGGCGAGAACGGTCAGCGAATCGGGAATGAGTCATAGGGGGACTATCAGTCACAATGACTCTCGCTATCAGATGTCCCATTATCCATCCAGCATTGAGTACGACGGAGAAGAGTCTACTTTGAAGACAACGAGCAACGGATACGCACCCCCTAACAGCTTAGTGGTTGGCAGCGGCAAGAAGCAGCCAATTGTGAATAGTGAGGACAGCATAGGCTTTAGTTTCGTAGCCCAATCAGCACCAGCAGCGGACAAACCCAATGAGTCCGCGTTTGGGTTTATCGCCGGTTCTGATCCTGTGGATGATACTTCTTCCAGAGGTAGTTCAACAGATCGGCCTTCTGGTCAATTTGCATCTGGCATTGTGCCCCAGCGTCCTTCCGTTTCTGCTGACAATTTCTTGGTCGAGTATCCATCAGTGGATAGCAATGCATTTGAGGATATGTGGGAATTAGCGAACGATGAATCGTACGTTGTTCAATACATAGCGCGACGGCATGACGGGCATCTAATTTCTTATGTGTGCATGCAGAGAGGAATGGTCGGTCGATCTTGGCTCAGTAGATGCCCACGAGCTAGACCCACGCGACTTGCAGGCATGTTTGCAGCCGTATCGAATGAAGTGTGTATTTGGCGAGAAGGTTGCTGGACAGCAACATTGGTTCTTCGTTGCAGAACAGGTACTAGTTGTTTCATTGATTCGCGCAGACTTGCAGCGTCAGTTTGACAGATTTTTGTGTGTGGTGTCAACAGGTCGGCGAAGGAACGCTCTTCCTGGTGAACATCTCCGTTATGCCAGGTTTGAGTGATATGTCAGTAACGCTGAAGTGGATTGTCAACTCGCTTCTCTACAGAAATGGCCATGTTATTTTCATGGAAATCCTCAAATACGCGCTTCACCAGTTTGCTGAGCAGGTGCAAGTTCGCGCAGCAAGGATATCCCTGCCGTCGCAGCAGGTTCATTGCCGTGATCGCGTGCTCGAACCAGGGCAAAATCATGCAACGCAACTACAAAGAAATGGCAGAGATTCTGAGGTTACCACGATGCTGCCAGCTTCGTGCGCGGCCTCACAATATGCGCCACGAACGGCATCACACGCAACGTCTCGAGATGACGGAGATGACGTCGAGGATGCAGATGAGGAAGCAATGTCAGCCCGCGATTACTTATGCGAAAGTCCTGTAATTGACGCAGGAAAGTTTGAACAGGTTTGGGCAACGGCAACAGAAATGTAAGTGTTGCTGGCTGGAAGCACCATGAACGTGACACCACGCTAACATCATTCACAATTTGCTTTTCACAGTGCGTCACTGTCGTACTCACTAAACGACTTACCCGAGGTGGACGAAGTTATTGAGCTCTTCCGCAGCAATTGTATGAGTTGTTTGGCGAGTGGTAGCGTGGACAAGCTTGTCAAATTCTTTTTCTTTGCCGAGATGGTACGTTTGGATGTGATATTCTTGAATCTTGCTAGGTCACTTGATTGATGCCAGCGTTTACTTCCCACTCGCCACCCAGACCGAGATACAGTGCGTGTTTTGTGTAGAAATGTCGTTTGGTGTGGACACTGGTGCTCTGGAAGGTACCGTTAAGCGGCTTGCTATTAGAAGGCATAGCGAGGAGGAGGAAGAGCAGATTGACTCGAGTTTTATTAGTTTCATTGAAGAGGTCATTCAAAATCTGTAAGTGTGTCATCGTCGAATCAATTCATCAGGTGAGCGAAAATCAGCTCTTGTATTACATCTATCATTTTTCTTACTCCAGCGACGCACAACTACAAAGGACACGCTAGCTTTCTCAACCCTCACTTTCGATCACACTTCATGTGACGATAAAAGATGGATCGCCAGTTTGGCGTTCGAATACGGTCAAGACCACTTTTGATGTTGGCGAGGATGGTAGTGCATGGTGACGATTCACTCGTATGAAAGCTCTGACGAAAACCGTCACTATAATCATGCACTCCGTCACGACACTCGTCATAAAAGACGCAGGTCATCTTTTCCACATCTTCAATCGCCGCGAGGGCGTCTTGTGAAGCATCTGCCATCACGGTTTCAATCGACGAACTGTTCAATGCTGCTGCTAGCGCCTCGCTGTACCAATTGTCCACCGTTTTATTGCTAGAAATGATCACTGCTTCCACAAACCCCGGCTTATACGACGTGTCGTTGGCGGAGCTCGCAAGCTGGCGGAATGGCAAATTAGCCACATTGGACTCGATTCCAGCACCAGGACATGTCACAAACATTTCGGCGAGCAGTCCCGTCATTTCATAGTTGTAGCTGAAAGCACCAATATCGCGAATGTCTGAGTAACTCAGGTATTCTGAAGGGAGAGCTGCGAAGAATGGTGCTAGGGTGTTGAACCGCGAAAACACTGACGAGGGGTTCACTCCTTCTTCACCCGTGCGTAGCATGGCGATGGATTCTGGAAAAAGGAAGTTTTGATCCATCGAATTCACCGGAAGAGGCTGACGTCGCGGGCATTCTGTGTACACGCGAGGATCTCTTAGTTTCTGCTCCAATGGAATCGGCACAGTGTTACCCACTACACACTTGTAGTAGATCGAATGCAGCAGGTCAATGGTGGCATGGTGCGAGAAGAAGATTGGATCGGCTGGCGCTTCTAAGACGCCCATAACCCCAGAGAGAGCGTTGTGGACAGTATCTGCACAGAAAATCAGGGACACAAAGTTAGTCAAGTGCTATGCAACGCTATCGTGTTGGATCTCAGGTACTTACTATGAATGCCCAGCTCGAGGTTGTTTACGACGCCTGCAATTGTCGGAGTTGCGAACAGCTGACGCGCGAGTGAGCTTACAGTTGTTGTGGGAGGAAAGGGAGCGCTTAACCAGTCACCTCGAGGCACACAGTGCGCACAGCTTCCTCCCTCAAGGTGTGTGGCCTCACAAAAATGGTTTAAAGGCGGTGTCGTCACGCAGGTTCCACTGATGGGGGATCCGTTGACCGTGACAGAACGAGCTAATCCGTTCAAGGACCCACCAAAGTCGCGCAAGAGCAACGAACACTCCTCCATGCTGCTGCATGCACCCATCATGTAGCGCTGGTTATCGTCGACATAGTTCCAGTATGGTACAGTAATGCAAGAGAACTCTCCACCATAGCTCCTCAACATATTCTCAAAACCCAAAAGCAACAAACGGTGCCAGTAGACAAACATGCACGTATTGTGCGCTTCGGCCGTCGTCATTTGCTCCGTATGAATCTCTACAAATTTGATATAGTAACCGTCATCCATGGATTTTGCAATTGCACGCAAGTACACGTCCTTCTCCTGTGGTAGCAATTGTTCCCACGGTTTTCGAATGCGTGGGCCACAAGATGCAACTGCTAGTTGTTCTGAGGCTTCAGTAATTGGAGCTACATTACTCATAGTAGAGGATATAGATGGAGGAGGCATTACTTGGGCAGTAGAAGTAGCAGTAGATAGAAGTAAAAGCGCCAGTGAACAAGTGAAAGAGCTCATCATTATTGCGTGAAAACTTTTGGTGTTGCTCTTGTAGACAATTGAAATATGAACTCCTCTTCACTCGTTCTGGTTCCCAAGTCTTCCTCTTCCCTCGTTCTGCCTCCCAAGTCTTCATCATCAATCCCATCTTACTAGTAGAAATAACACAAAACATCCATAAAAAAGAAGACCTGAGTGCATTGATGTCTAGCATCAATCTGACGCTAATGGACATCTATTGTGTCATCTCCATCACTATTTCTAATTTGGCTGTTTTGTTAATAAAGACAAGTATGACTACTGGCTTGTGTGGTACACGTCATTTATCACGTAATGGCTAGTTGTGTGTTATACACGAAGACGGTTCCATCAATCCATCCACCGTTTTGATTGAGCACCTCGTCGCAGATTCACTTTCTGACTGACGTTAAATAACGCCGTCATTTGATCAGGTCATTTTTTATTTTGTCGTCATGAGTGATAACGTCCCTTATTTAGAAGCTATTCTAGTGGATGAAGAATATTTAAACAGTGCTAATACCGGTGATATAGAACTATCGCAGTCTTTACAGCCTGTATCACCGTCTTTGCCATTGAATCCTCATGAGTCGAGATGTACTAGTATCGATGATGCCTTTGACACTCGAGATCAATACAATTTGGGACAGAACGAGGATGACAAAGAAGACGACGACGACAAAGATGAAGATGGTGAGAAAGGTGATGCTGTGTGTCTTCAGGACATGGAAGTTGTCCAGAAGGATAGTGTCTTAAATGACGACGTGGAAGACGAGGAGGAGGAGACTTTGTTGCGCTCGCAGCCTCATAGCGCTAACACGGAATCCAGTGCAACACCTGACCACCATGCAGCGCTGAGATCTCCGCCTCGATCTATATCGTCACTTGGCAATTTTGTTGTTGATGATGAGGATATGATGGAGATGAATGCTCGAGAACAGGAGCTGCTAGTGAATATTCAAGAACTGCAGCGGCAATTGTCAATGGTGCATATCCAAACGGACAAACCGCAAGAAGAGATTGTGCCGCCTATGATAGACGCAAGACGCCGATTGATTATGGTTTCGAACCGACTGCCAATATCGATCCAACGTAACGAAGTGACGGGAGAATGGAGCTTTTCCATGAGTTCAGGGGGGACTTGTGACGGCGTTAAATGGTATTCGAGACCACGTACCATTTATTTGGATTGGATGGCTTGGAGAGGAAATTCCTCATGATGAACAGAGCAAAGTGCGTCAGAAACTGGCGAAAGAGTTCAACTGTGTGCCGGTGTTCTTGTCCAAAGAAATAGCTGGACGGTACTACAATGGTTTTAGCAATGACATTTTGTGGCCGATCTTCCACTACGTACCGCTGCCGCTTTTCCGACCAGGAATTGAAAAGAAATTTGATTTTCGACAATGGGACGCGTACAAGCTGGCTAACAAGCGTTTTGCACAGGCCGTCAACCAAGTGTATCGCGAAGGAGACTTCGTTTGGGTACATGATTACCACTTGATGATGCTGCCTTCCTTACTACGATCGCGACACCCACATTGTAAAATGGGCTGTTTTCTTCACACGCCTTTTCCTACTGCTGAAATGTATCGAATGCTGCCCGTGGGTCGAGAAATATTGGAAGGTCTTCTTGGAGCAGACTTGTTGGGCTTTCACACATACGATTACGCTCGCCATTTTATCGATGCCTGCGCACGTGTGCCAGGTGCTTCTACTTCTCCAAAAGGTGTCGAACTTGGCAACCACTTTTCAGCAATCGGTGTATTCCCTATTGGCATTGACCCAGAACACTTTGAGGGTATTTTAAACTCGGACGCTACACAAAAGCGTATTCAGGAGCTCACTGTAAAGTTTGCTGGCTGTAAGATTATTATTGGTGTTGATCGCATGGATTATATTAAGGGTATTCCACACAAACTGCTGGCAATGGAACGTTTTCTTTCTCTGTACCCAGAACGATGCAAGGATGTGGTTCTTATCCAGATTGGTGTACCATCTCGCACTGGTGTTCAAGAATATCAGCATTTAGCAGCGAGCGTAAATGAGATGGTCGGCCGTATCAATGGAAGATATGGAACACTAACGCATTCTCCTGTGCACTATATTCACCGTTCAGTCACTCCCAGTGAACTGGTAGCACTTTACAATCTAGCCGATGTTTGTCTCGTGACATCCATCCGTGACGGTATGAATCTTGTGAGCTATGAATATGTGATGTGTCAGAGTCAATCGTGCGAACCCCATCGTGTTGGACCAGGTGTTTTGATCTTAAGTGAGTTTGCTGGCAGTGCTCAATCGTTATCAGGTGCAATTCGTGTCAATCCCTGGAATACGACTGATATGGCAAATGCGTTAGGATATGCATTGGAATTACCGCTTATGGAACGAGAGTATCGTCAAACGAATCTACATCGCTATGTCAAGACACATACTGCTAGCTTTTGGGGTAAGAGTTTTCTCTCTGATTTAGAGGACGCATTAAGTCAGTGAGTAGTGTCTCTCTATCCATTACGACCACATTTTTAATTATCAAGTTACGCCCACGACTTTTGTTTGCTCTATTCTCTCTTTTTTTGTTTACATTTAATGTTAAAATTTCCAGCATCTTGGCATGAAATTGTATTTTAGCATATAATTTGCTCAAGATTTTTGACCTCTTCGATCTATTTTAATTCTTATCCAATTCGATTCGTTATTATACGGTCTATGATATAAGCCAATAAGATGAAAGATATACCTTGGCTGGCCAGCAATCACTGATAGCTCAAGGCTGCGCCACCACCCACACGCAGTTGGAAAAACATCAGCAGTCAAGTCGAAAAATATGGTGAGTGAGGGGTGTGTGACTATTGACTTGGATTGACTGTATCTCAGGCTACAGACTTCCATTATACATGCAACTTGCACGACCATATAGCTGAGATATATGTCGACGCGGCAGACTAATTATTGGCTCATTATACTTCCATTTTAGGGTGCCAACAACTTCGTGCTGTTCGAGTCTGCGTCCGGTTATGCGATTTTTGAGGTTGTGGAAAACGAAGAGATTGGGAGTCTCGTAGCTGAGGTGCAAGCTGCAGTAGCAGATGTGACTTCGTTTGGACGCATTGTAAAGCTCAAGGCTTTCCAGCCCTTTACATCAGCTGAGAATGCTCTTGAGAACATTAATAACATCTCGGAAGGTCTACTAAGTGACGATCTTAGGAACTTTTTAGAAATGAATTTGCCAAAGGTTAAGACCGGCAAGAAAGGAAAATTTGCACTTGGTGTACAGGACAAAGGACTAGCTCAGGCCATTTCGGATGAGCTCAATGCGCCGTGCAATACAAGCGAGACGACGCTTGAGATTGTGCGTGGCGTGCGTATGCACTTTAGCACATTTGTCAAGGAGCTAGCTCAGGGTAATCTGGCAAAGGCTCAGCTTGGTCTTGGTCACTCCTACTCGCGTGCCAAGGTCAAATTTAACGTCAATCGTGCTGATAATATGATCATCCAGGCTATTGCTCTACTCGACCAAATGGACAAAGACATCAATACGTTTGCCATGCGCGTGCGTGAGTGGTATTCGTGGCACTTCCCCGAGCTTGTTAAGATCGTTAACGATAACTACGTGTACGCGCGTTGCGCTTCATTTATTAAGAATCGTAACACGTTGAGCGAGGATTCGCTCGAGGAGTTGTCGAAGATTGTCCTTGACGAAGACAAGGCCCAGCAGATCCTTCACGCCGCCCGTTCTTCCATGGGTATGGACATGTCAGAGATTGACATGATTAATGTTGACAATTTCACCACGCGTCTCGTTAAGCTGGCAGAATACCGTTGTCAGCTGCACGAGTACCTTGTATCTAAGATGTCAACGGTGGCTCCTAATCTTGCTTCGCTTATTGGTGAGTCAGTGGGCGCACGCCTTATTTCGCACGCGGGTTCGCTGACCAACCTGGCCAAGTGTCCCGCCTCGACCGTGCAGATTCTGGGTGCTGAGAAGGCTCTGTTTCGTGCGCTAAAGACCCGTGGCAACACTCCCAAGTATGGTCTGTTGTTCCACTCGACCTTTATTGGCCGTGCCGCTTCCAAGAACAAGGGCCGCATCTCGCGTTACCTTGCTAACAAATGCGCTATTGCCTCACGTATCGATTCATTCATTGATGAGCCTACGACGAGGTACGGTGACAAGATGCGCGAGCAGGTTGAGGAGCGTCTTGCTTTCTACGAGAGTGGTGCAGCTCCGCGCAAGAATGCTGACGTGATGTTGGAGGTCTCGGAGGAGCTTAAGCAGGCGGCTTTTAAGGGAGAGAAGAAGTCTAAGAAGGATAAGAAGTCAAAGAAGCGTCCTGCTGCAGACAAGGATGCTGAGATGGAAGGGGTTAAAGAGGAGGTGCCAGCCAAGAAGTCTAAAAAAGCCAAAAAGCACAAGGAGGTTGAGGAGGAGGCTGTCGCAGCTCCTGCCGCCGACGCGGACAAGAAGAAGAAGAAGAAGAAGCAGAAGAAGAAATCCAAGACTGCGTAGAGTGCCCCAGCCCACCGCCGCTATTGGTAGTAGTACACTTATTTTCGTTACGATTTCTCTTTTTTCTTAGACGGTCTACCTGCTGCCTCCACGTGTGTTGTACATTACGATAACGCTGGCTGTGCGCGTCAAGAGTCAATATATTTGCAACATATCATTCACATTGTCATCGAGGCTTCAATCATTTGGAGCATCACTGCTTCCTGCACTGTGCGACAACCAGACATTGCAACTGCTATCAGACTGCGTGCTAAAGCAATTTTCGCGCTTGAGGATGCCACTTGCACAAGACAGACGTGATCAAAATGATGCAAAAAGTGGTCGGCTTCGTGATGGTGAATTTGTGATGCACTTCCTATATCTGTAAGAGCGTTTTGCAAAGCCAACAAGTCCGCTGGCAGGTCTTGTGTTGTTGCCCTAGTACTTACATGAAAGGGCTGCCCAACTCGGTTCAGGGACTTTAAACGCTTGGTCATCAAGCTATAAGACAGTGCATAAGAGAAAACACATAGTTAGTTACGTATGGTCTTACCAAATCTAGACTGCTTTGAGAAAGTCATCATTACCTTGTACTCTAGGGCATGTAGCCAGATCTTCGAACAATGCAGTTGTGTTTCATTGAAAGCTTCAGCTTCACCAACGTAGCACCATGTGCAAGTCCGTTTCATAAACTCTTCTTCGCTTTCGTTCTCCTTTCTGGGTGTCGTAAAATCCACAGGGTCCTTGGGCGGACAATCAGCTTTGCTGCGCTTGGCAGCTGCAATCTCCTTAACACGTTCTGCGCTTTCACCAAAATGTAACTCTCCACCATAGCACGGGTCGTTAGCAATGGGAAACCCAATGAGCTGCAAGTGCAAACGGATCTGGTGCGTCCTTCCCGTGACTGGCTTGCATTCCACAAGACTAGTTAATGTGTCTACACGAATAAAACGCACTAACGTCTCTGAAGATTTACCCTCCTCGTGGCACTCCCACACACCATCACGAGTAGAGAGACAGCGAAGTGGGCAGCTAATGAGAATTGCACCCTCGTCTGGAAACGTAATCACGCTAGCCGGACAATTTGCTTTTGCTTCGCTCACAAGCATCTTTTCGGCTGCTGCATCGAGAATAGCAGGAAATTTCCCACGCACACGCGCAAGATACGTCTTGGAAGCCTGGCGATCAGCTGATGTATTATGTCCACGTAGCAACAACGCACATAGCTTGTTAGAGAAACGAGCTGAAACGACACAACCCCAGTAGTTACTGCGATCACAATTGTACAATACCGATGATCATGGACAAAGCCTTTGCCTTGGTTGCATTTTTTGCTAAAAGCACAACACCTAACACATCAATCGTTGATCTTGTTAGACTGGTCAAATGATTGCAGACAAGTAGCCTACACTAATTGAGCTATTTGTTTTGTACCAGAAGTAAGTCGATCGAGTCGATGAACGATGTGTAGCTGTGGAAGACTCGGTCGGGTTGCTTGAAGAATTGAGTGTAATGAGTTGTGGCGATACGCCCCACACGGGTGGGTAGGCATGGAAGGTGGTTTCGACACGACAATCTAACACAGCATTCTCATAGTAATTACACGTCGGAAAAGATCATCAATCATCTCCAACAGCTAGTGCGCGTACTAGATCGTGGTCTTCATACACCACTGACACCTCGTCTCCAGACACTGGCGGCTCGTGACGATGAGCCTTTTGAAATTATCAACACAAGGTAGCAGCAACGCGTGATTAGAAATTACACAAGAATTAAATATCGATAAGCCAAACTCTCAACAAGCTACCACATGAATGATCAAGTCTCCATTCTCAATGATAGTATCGGGTGGTACAATCTCATGGTTCACCGAGATCCGTCCTGATGCGATAGCATATTTCTACACAAAAGACACTCTAATCTTAAGTCCCCTTCGACGCCTCCTTACAACACTATAGAAATACGTACAACTTACATAATAGTCGGGTGAATGAGCACCAAATTCCTTAGTGAATATCTCCAAGAGTTTCCGATGAAACCATCTCGCTTTTGCGTACGTACGGAATTCGTACACGTATGGCTCTACCATCCGATAACCTACCACAAATCTTAATCAATCAACCAATATACATTGATAACCATATCACAACACCTTGTATCACCAATACCATTGATAAATGAATATTTGGGCGCTTCGGTCTGGAAACGGTTAGCGCTTTTAACGTCTCGCTTGGATTTTCGTTTCTTGGCTTGGTGCTCGATTGGATCTCTCTCTATGCGACGTAGTTTTTTTAACTGACGTTTAGACAGAGCTTTACTATTGTTGTTTACTGCAATAGTCTCTACAACTGACTCCGTTGTCTGAGCCTTAGACGCTTGGGTGTCATTCTTTTCCATCGGTACAATATCGAGCTTTTTGAAAAATGCGAATCACATTAATTACATCATATTATGATGAATACTGTAATATAAATTCATTTTAGTACGTTAGAGTACTCTATTCTAGCGTACTCGAGGCAAGTAGCGGTGTAGTGACCGTTGGCTTCTTGAATAGGAGCGACTTGGTCTCGTCAACGCTAAAATCCTCAGGAAGAGCGGGAGGTTTGTAATTACGGAGTAAGAGCGACGAAGTGACTACCGATACAGACGAAATAGCCATAGCACCACCTGCAAACATTGGAGGAATACTAAAACCATAAGGAAATAGCACACCTGCAGCCAACGGAATCAACAAGCAGTTGTAGCCGAGAGCCCAGACGTAGTTTAGACGGATGCGATTGAAGATTGAACGAGACAAATCCAATGCTGTAATGACATCAAACAAGTTGGCTCTCATAAGAACCATACCAGCCGTTTCCACAGCAATTTCCGTACCACCACCAATGGCAATTCCTAGATCCGCTTGCGCAAGTGCAGGTGAATCGTTAATGCCATCACCGACCATAGCAACAATACGACCAGTACTCTGGAGCTGCTTAACCGTTAAAGACTTTTGAGAAGGAACCACCTCGGCCATCACGTTACGACGACTGATACCTAGCTGATCAGCAATAGTAAGTGCAGTGCGCGCGTTATCTCCCGTGACCATCCAAACCTCCAGGCCCATCTGCTTTAGTTTCTTAAGAGTACGAATCGACTCTTGGCGTGGAGCATCCGCTACACCAAAGACAGCACTGAGCTCGTCGTCAACACCCATGTATATTGTTGTCTTCCCGGCATTCTCGAAAGTCAGAGTGGCTTGTTGTAGCACAAGACTGGTCAAACGTTTTAACCCATTATCCGTCATCCATTCTTTGTTGCCAATGACAACCTTGTGTACGCCAACCATACATGCAATACCCCTACCAGAAACACCACGAAAGTTTGTCGGTTGCTCAAGTGATGGTGAAATAAACTTTGCGTACTCGATGATCGCTTTGCTAAGTGGGTGTTCGCTACCAAGTTCAGCACAGCCAGCCAAAACGATAAGCTCCTCGGTGCTCAGCTTCTTACTGAGCACAACCACATCGGTCACCACAGGCTTCCCCACAGTCAGGGTTCCCGTCTTGTCGAACAAAATTGTGTTAATGTTGTGCGCGGCCTGAAGTGGCTCGCCACCTTTGATCAATACACCATGCTCAGCGCCGACGCCAGTCCCGACCATTACTGCCGTAGGCGTTGCCAATCCTAATGCGCACGGACAAGCAACTACGAGCGTTGCAATACCAAAGTTGAACGAAAACATAAATGTGCTGTCCGTGTGAGGGATCCAGCTCGCTGGTACCATCTCAAGAGTGCACAAGAGGTACCATACTGAGAATGTCAGGAGCGACAACCCCAGCACGGTCGGGACAAATATGGACGCAACGTAGTCTGCATACGCCTGGATTGGCGCTTTTGAGGTCTGCGCGTCCTCCACAAGACGAATGATCTGACTTAATGCAGTATCGTTCTCTATACTGGTCACCTTCATATGAAACAACCCGTCGGAGTTAACCGTTGCCCCTAGCACGCGATCACCAACAACCTTTTTGATTGTCTTCGATTCACCAGTCAGCATCGACTCATCAATTCGACCTTCGCCATAGACGATGACGCCATCAGCTGGAATGGATGACCCGCGAACTACTTTCAAGATATCTCCACGCTGGACTAGCTCAATGGGAACGACCCGCTCTTCACGGATTTTGATTCCATCTGCACTGAAAACCAGCAACGTGGCCGATTTGACCTGCAACTCCATAAGCTTGCTCAATGCTGCTGACGTTTTGCCCTTTGCTATCGATTCCAAAAACTTGCCCAAAATTACGAACGAAAGCAACATCGACGATGTCATAAACGTATCTGGATTGGCAACACTCGAGTCGTCCAGCAAAAACGCGCGTATGATGCTAAATAGTCCGTAAAAGTACGATGCGTTGGAACCCATTGACACCAAGAACGACATGCCTAGCACTCGATTCTTTATTCCCTTGTACGCATCGACGTGAAAACGACGACCAGGGTAGAATTGGACCGGCGTGGCTAAACTTGCCACAATCAAAGTTTGCCACGAGACCCCTGGAAAAATCTGTGAGGCTAGCCCATATTTAAAAGTCGCTATGTTGTCAAACACCATCATGGTCAGGAGAATTGGAAACGTAAAAAGCACTGATACAAAAAAGTCAACGCGATAACGCTTGATCTCCTTTGTGCGCTGGTCTCCAAGAGCCTTCTGGGTCTCTGACCCCGACACATACGAGGCATCATACCCAATATCTTCAATTGTTTCAACAAGCGTTCGAATGCCAACCACGTCCTTGTCAAAGCGAACCGACGCCTTCTCCGTTGCAAAACTAACAACTGCTGAAATGACGCCTTCTGTTTGCTTTAGTGCGTTTTCAACCGAATTGGAGCATGAACTGCAAGTCATGCCACCGATTAAAAGTGTTGCGTCTCCAATGTCGCTTTTGTCGGAACCAATGCAAAGCGCTAGATCGTCAAATGTAGCACGCGGCGCTACATTCGACTTCGCTAAGGCGTCGAGGTCAGACTTGTCAGCAATAACCGGCGCTTTCTTAGCGTTTCGAGTAGCAAGACGAGCGCAAAGATTTGGTTCCACGCGCCAAACCACTTGGAGCAAGTCCTCGTCATTGAGCCGTCCATCAGGGTCAACTTCAACAACCGCTCTTCTTGCGGCAAAATCCACAAACGCTGATACAACACCCTCTGTTTCGCAGAGGGCTTGATGGATCTTACGCGCACAAGCTTTGGCGCAGCTCATACCCTCAATATTTAGCTCTATCGTGCGAGGATGAAGTGATGGAATGTACACGACGGCATCGAACTTGGCATCAGCTGCATGAACGACTTCAATCAGGTCATTTGCGGTAAGCGCGCTGCCGGATCTCAGCTGAACAATGGCGCGCTTTAATGAAAAGTCCACCTTCGCCGTCTCTACACTTGGTTCTGCATTCAAAGCCGTTTCGATCTTGCGTGCACAATTTTTAGCACAACTCATGCCTGCGACTGTAAGAAGAATCGTACGTGGCCCGCTGGTTGGTGTCGCTACCGAAGCCGAGAACGTTTGGTCCGCGGAATGCACAACATCAATCAGGTCGTTTTCAGTCAAGTAGCAGTCCGTCTCCACGAAAACGGTAGCCCGCTTTGTGTCAAAGTCCACTTTGGCGTTGATAACTCCCTCAGTGCCATTTAGTGCATCTTGCACCTTTCTCACGCAACTCTTGACACAACTCATACCATCGATTGTAAGATACACAACACGCGAATCACCGTCGTTTCTGAAAAGTTCATAGCGCGACGCATCAAACTTTTTATCAATACTGCGCACGATCTGAATCAAATTTTCCTCCACCATTTTGCTCTCTGGCTCAAGAATAATGGTCGCACGGTTATTATTAAAGTCAACCGTAGCGTCAACCACACCTGCAGCATTCTTCAACGCCGTCTGAATTTTTGTGGCGCATTTTTGAGCGCAAGTCATGCCTGTAATATTCAGCAAGATCGCCCCAAAAACTGGATTCCATGGCTCTTTTGTTTTCTTAACAATCGATGCTTTAAATCGCGGGTTTGCCCATTGAATATACTTGATAAGATCCACTTCTGTGGCCGTGCAGCCTTTTGCTAATGCCACTTCTGCTGTCATCGACTTGGAGTCCACATGAATATGCAACACACCGGGAATCTGCTCCAACGCACGAATCACCTGACGTCCACAATTAATCATACAGCGCATTCCTCCCACGTAAAGACGAACAATACGTTCGCGATGCTGCCACACGGGATACGCCACGAGTTTTTCGGGTGTTGCGCGCTGTACCACATCGGCAAGTGTGGCCTCCGTGGCTTCATTTGCACGGTATGTCAGTTCAATCCTCGCTAATTTCTCTGCCAGATCCAGCTGTACGCTACGCACGCCTAAGAGGCTGCACTTGAGCGCCGATTCGATCTTAAATGCAGTGACTTGATCGGTATCACATAAGCCCGGGACAACAAGAAATACCACACGATCCTCTTCGTCACGGCGCTGGGAGGACGTCACACATGGAACGTCTTCCGCTGGAGATACACAGACACCGTCTTGTACATGATGATGCACTAGCGGCATGAACTCTTGGTCTTCTGTTGACACTACTACCATCTCCTCCCTCTCTCTCTTATTATGATATTATGGCTATTGATTGAAATGAGAAATGAACGATAGGAGAATAACAAGACGCAAAACGAGTTTCTGATTCTTAAATCGATTGAATAAAATCAAATTGGCCTGTTCTTAGTTCGTACATTACCACATTAGTAATGCCGATAATAGAGGTTATGGCGACGTTTGATCGATCAATCGATCGGTCGTTTTCGATTCAGTGGCGATAGACTTTGGTTCGAAGAAATATCTTGCTTCGTAGCAAGAAGTTTCCCAATGCATGAACAAACATGTCATTTGTGTTAATCTAGTCTATTATTGCTGCTATCAGCATTTACTTTAACAACTAACGTGCGACACTCGGCGAGATATGTTGTCGTTTACATAGTGTAGCAAAGTCTACGTCACCGACTTTGTCACACAACTAATAGAAGCACCTTATACATGGTCGTACTTCAAGTTCTCTAGTTTTCAAGTGACAACGATAAAAATACACGTCCTTTCTGCTACTTTTTTTGAAAAAACTGGCTTAACTTTTTGTCATTTATTTCAAAAATCCAATGTGGGTTTTTCTCTTCGGTACATAGTTCTATTTGACCCACGTTGTGTTAAAACACGCCATTGCGCATCCTTTACAGCGATTGGTAGCGATGCTTCCGACATCGCGGCTATTTCGACATACGCTACGATACGCTGGCAGGACCAGAGGTATCCTACTTTCACGAGGTCTTCACGCGTCTAAAATTATATTGGCTCGGAGAAATCACCGAAAATCGCCCAGCCGTTCGTCGTCCAAGCCATCGCCGGTTTGTCAAAACAACGAGGTGCAGTCAATACAATACATCGCATGGACAGCTTATTTACAGTGATACATGATGACTGCCACTGCTAATATTGATCCATTATCTACTATCAGGAAGAAGATGAGGAGTTTGTCAAGTGGGTTAACGAGGTGCAGCAGTACAGTCCGACCCAGACCCTGAACGAGGACAAAGTGCCGAACACGATGGAGCTGGTCGAAGACGAAGAAGACGAGTATGATGATGGAGAGGAACTTGACGAAGAGACTGAGAAGTTTCTCGACGAAGCTGAAGACCTTTTTCGTCTAAGCCCAACCGAGTTTCAAAAACGCATGGACACATTTGACCAACGTCACGCCGACGAGCACGATGCCGACGATGAGAACGATGACCCTGAAGGAATCGATCGCGCGACAGAAAGAATCCCTAGGAAGAAGTTGCTAAAGGTATTGGCAGAGCTCAATCCTAACAATGTGTCAACAAGCAAGAACGCTGAGCGAATGCCTAATGCGAGCTTGAGTACGTTTGACTTGAAATGGCGGAATCGTTCCTTTGAGTTTGCGCTTTGTTGTGCTCACCTGTACTTTTATATGCTGCTTAGAAAACAAGAATATGTCTCCACTAGAGAGGAAACCAAAGCTACCCAAGGCGGAACGTGTGACGTATCGTCAGGAGAGCGTGGGCATTGCCGTGCTAGAGTATGTGCAGAACCTTTTGGTTGAGGATGCGGATGTTTCTGGAGCAGATATCGTGCCTATTTTTGTTGAGGTAAACTACAGATAGCGATAGCTTTGAAGGCCTCAATGTTCGACTAACAACTATCTGTCACTTTACTATCGTAGGCAAGCGTATCGCCTGACCTGCGCCAGGTAGTGCTTCACTGGGAGCCAGTACGCTTAAACTCGGAGAACCAAAAGATTGGCAAGAAAAAAGTCGAGGCGGTGAAGAATCGCCTACAACGCCAGGAGCGCTGGATTCGCCGCAACGTCACTCAGCATCTAAACTTGAAGGTACACGACGCAAAACTGGAAGGTTTGCATGAAGCTGAGTACTGTACTGACGTGCTCCTGTGACTGTGAATAGTACTCACCTGTTGTTCAGTTCAAGCAACAAACAGAAGCAAAGGCTGAAGTAGCACGAACGCTGTTTGAGGACGAAATGAAGTGGCTGGACAGGGTGTAAATCCTTTCATATTGCACAGCACAACCATGTGTGGAGCCACTGTATTGCAATGCCAAGTTACGTCATAGACGCATGCCCGGAAGCTACTGCCACGTGGCCACTTTGCGTATTGTGCACAATCGTTACTCTTCTAGGTATTTTTGAGTGGTGATTACTTCTGTATCAGCTCATAAATGTCCGAGCGTAGCTGATTCGACGTTGGAATGTTGCGACGCATCTCTTCAACCTTCTCCATGTCCACGTCGGCGTATACAATACACTCACCATGGTCGCACGTGGCCACCACTTCGCCCCAGGGAGAGACTACGGTCGAGTGGCCCCATGCCTGGTAGCCGCTCTCGGGGCCGCGCGCAGGTGAGGCCGCAGCCACGTACACCTGGTTATCAACTGCGCGAGCGCGCTGCAAGAGCTCCCAATGTGCCGGTCCCGTGGTGAGATTGAAAGCGCCTGGAAAGAGCAAAATCTTGGCGCCTTGCTTCTTCATAAGCATGGACAGCTCCGGAAAGCGAATGTCGTAGCAGATACCGACGCCGATTTTGCCATAAGGTGTATCGAAGAGCGTCAAGTGGTTGCCCGGGGAAAGCGTGTCGGACTCCTTAAACGTGATCTTACCGGGCACGTCAATATCAAACAAGTGCACTTTGCGATGCTTGCCCAAAATTTCACCCTCAGGTGTGAAAATGACGCTCGTGTTGTAAACTTTGCCAGCGGCGTCCTTCTCCGGAATGGAACCACCCACCAGGTAAATCTGAAGCTTGGCAGCGAGTTGCGATAGCGCAAAAGTGGATGGATGATCATTTTCACTTAGCATTTCCTTCTTTTCTGGAATCACCTCTGCGTATTGTGGAAACGAGGTGGTAGCGTAAGGTGAATTCCAGCACTCTGGTAGCGACACAACCTGCGCTGCGTTCTTGGCGGCTTCAGTCACAGCGGCAGTGGCTGTTGCAATGTTCTTTTGCTTGTCATTAGTCACTGCAATTTGGCACAATGCCAGCTTAAATTTAGAGCTGGCGGTGCTCATGGGTTTTAATAAGCACGTCGCAAGCACAAGAGGTGAATAGAGTCGATGGGCTTGAAATCGAATGGTGCGGCCAAGCATCCTCCTGATGTGATTGTTAGTAAATAGGACATATAGTAGGATATATACTTTCCAACTTAATGTGCACCACTACGAACTAGTATCATGTGGCATATGCACTCTTCCAAGAAATAAACCATCATTGACATGCTGCGAGTACTTTACTTTGTCTATTGAATATGTCAAAGTGTTTTAAGTATTAACAAATATGCTGTTGGAACGTAGATTACTCGCCATGTGTATCACACTGGCTCACGCCATACATTGCAACGTCGTCTTAACTATGGTACATCAGCTCAAAACTCTGTTGGTCAGGAGAATTCGAGCTTCATTACGTTGCTGGGATTGGCAGGAGTCATCACGTTCGTCTACAATCTACTTGTATGTTTTCATACATACGATACGATGATCATGTCTTGCGCTTCATTGTTGTTAATGTCTGCAGAAGTGTCACGTACGTGTACTATGATCCGGATGTGCTACCGTCAAGTGTGAAGAAGTGGCTGCTGATCCAGGAGCCGGAAGGCCGCGGTATGAGTGTAGAGGAATACGAACAGTGGCGTGCAAAGCAGTCGGGATTTCCGACAGTTGTCACGTCGAAGAAAGAAGAGGAAAAGGCCAAGCACGTGCATTTAAAAGAGATGAACGTAGAGCCACCAAACATGAACGGTTCGTTTTACGACTGTATGATTGCTAGACGAGTACATGTACAGGAGATTTACGTAGAGACTGTGATAATGCAGGTGATACTCCTATTCCGCATGGCGACGAGTCGCCGGAGGAAATGAAAGCGTCACTGGAGAAGCTACTAGCTGAAGCGAGAGAAAATGAGGCTGCTTTTATTGCCGACATCAAATCGAACAGGGTCCCAGTGTCCGCAGAAGATCGCCAGATGGTATGTTGATACTTTTGGAGCAAGTCTTCCGCAATGAGGTATCTGATTGTTTTGCTCTCGAATGTAGTTGCAAGCGTTTAAGGATGAAAAGCTACGATTGAAAAAGCAGCTTAAGTTTCTGAAGTCCAACAAATAAGTCCATCTCGATGGCAAAGCTGTTTTTGTTGATAATCGCAACACACCGCGAATTAACGTAGTATGTCAAAGTAGCATATACAAACACATAGCACCTGTCAAGATACGTACTTGCTTCAGCTACTCTTTCTTCGTCTTGATCTTTTGCGTTGCCTGAGCTTCTGTAATCCATTGCCAGTACGTCAAATATACGAGTATCAGTAAGAAATGGCCACATGAATAAGCAGCAAAGACGTAGTCGTGGATGTGGGGGTATCTTGCGGGTGGAGGAATCCAGGCTTGCGCAGTGTGAATGACTACGATTCCTAGCAATGAAATCTTCAACATGCAGTCAGATGCTTATAACACGAGCAACACAATACAGAAAAAAATCATACCGTGACATAAGCTCGAAACAACGGATGAACACTGCCGTCTCCCCGATAGCCTGGTGCAAGCTCCGTTCGCTGCACGTGTAGATGCTTGAACGAATCCGAGGCAAGAAACGGAGCCACTGCTACACCCGTGTAAGCTAGTTGTAACACGATGTACGGAAGAATGAGGCCATCCTTCTTCAGGAGGAAATACATACTGGAAAAGAACGAACCAAAAAGCCAAGCGACTCTGTCAGGCATAATGATCTACCACAAAACGTACTTTCGCAACACACAAACCTGAAAGTCGATAGCACGCTAAACCACCCCGAGAGTAACGCGTTGTAAGCAAAAAGGAACGAAATTGGCAGCAATGGCAGCAAGATTGTCTTTTCGTGGACTAGACAAGCAGCACAAAAAAACACAAGGGTCAACAAAAGCACCCAACAGCAACTACAATAACATACCTTGGAAAGAAAACAAGAAAAATGACAGCGAGCAAACTGCAAGCGACAAAAGAAATCGCAGCTGTGTGGGCTTTCGTCTGAGAAGGTCAATAACCGACGGAGTAAGTCCGATAAACGTCATCAGCGTGCTGTACAGCATACAAGCATACGGTAGTACAGTCAGCGGCTGCGAGTTACTACAGCATCACTCGCGACTTACCATAATCGCATCTGAAGTGTAGGGCTCATAAATCGACGAATCTTGATAATCAAGTCGGCGATGCACCAAAAGTTAGCTACTTTATCTTCGAAAAGGCCTCGGTCAAACGGAAAAATACGATGAAGGACTGCAAGTCATATAGGTTTGTCACTATGGTGCATGGTGCACAGAAGCGTCGACCCGTTTAGAAGCGTAGCGTACCTTGTGCCATTGTAGACAAGCAAGTGTCTTCCGCGGATGCATATTTGCACAATGGAAGCCACATCAGCGTAAATGTAGCAATTACTACTACCGATAGCTTGACGAGATGAAGAATGCACAGCTCCCGATAGAGACAACGAGCCAGCAAATATACTCCAAATGCAGGGGCGTAGTAAAGCGCCATTTGCTTAAAGTTTAGAGATAGACAATAGCAAATACTACCAAGAAGCTCATGATTTTGAAGAATCAAAGCAACGCCCAGCGCCGCAAATCCCAGACACACATTATTGTACTAGCTCGTAACAACGTAAACAACGATACGATGTGAGACAAGTTGCTAACAAAGTACAAGATATCCGTACCCTTGTTTCAAATTTGATGCACTTATGTACCTGGAAGTGGCCATGATCGATAAGCAATACTGCCGGTTGCAGCAGAATTAAAAGAAGAAATGCCGTACGTTGAGTCCATTTCTCGCTGCCATAGATTGACCTTGCCATATAATATATTGCAGGCATAAAGAGGATAATGTCACAGAGTAACACAGACGTACGCATAAATACTCTGCTAGTTGCAGATTCGTATCCCCTTGAACTCGTTAATTCTACCATCGACGGTTCGATGACGTTAGCCACGCATCCAAAAATATACGATACGTATGCAGTAAGTGGTGGATAGTCTAATCCCCAATAGAGTAAATCGTTTGATGTCGTATTGAAGTACCAATGAGAGATGGGAAGGTTAATTGTAATTTCCATCCAGTGACGTTGTGCCTCGTAATCACCAAACATAGGTGGTGTGTCTTCACCAGAATATGAATGAAGACCCACGAACCAACGCACAAGAAGTAGAAAAAGACATACAAGACAAAACCCTGCTCTCTTCTCACCATTTTGTTCAAGGAAGTGCAGACCTCGCTGAATCAACGAAGCCTCTTCGATTGCGCTCATTTTACCACCTGTCGATGCAATCCTCGCACTAGTGACATTCTATATAATAGGACAGTCATCAATGTTAAAAATAATGTGGTCAACATGAAAAACCTAACTTCAACCATCCGATCGTACCACAGTGTCGATGGCTCTTTCCTCTCGTGTGGCCGTCATTACAGGTGCTGCCTCAGGTCTGGGCCGTGCAACGGCTGCTAGACTTGTACAGAACGGAGCGCGCGTGATTTTGTGCGATCTTCCGACCAGCGACGGTGTTAACGTTGCGAGAAAACTTGGCGTCTCGTGTCACTTCAGTCCCACCGATGTACATTCAATTGTTAATGATTGATTAGTAACCAATTGATTCTTTTACTGTATAGTTTAACGTCTGTTACTGTAATGTGATTGGAGCTAAGGTGACGAACGAAGACGACGTTGCTGCGGCACTGGATCTGGCTGAATCTTCCTTTGGTGAGCCGGTGAATACCGCTATCAATTGTGCAGGTATTGCACTAGCTATCAAGACGCTAAGTAAAAAAGGTGTCCATCAACTATCTGCATTTCAACAAACGATCAATGTCAACACCGTTGGATCCTTCAATGTTGCACGTCTTGCTGCTGAACGGTATGTAGTATTTACTGATGTACATTCTTGTGGGTTTTAAATATATTACATATGTTAATGATCGTTATAGCATGTCAAAAATACGACCAGATACTGATGGAGAGCGCGGAGTTATCATCAATACAGCAAGCATTGCTGCATATGATGGACAGATTGGACAGGCGGCATATGCTGCTGGCAAAGGGGCCATCGTAGGCATGACGCTCCCCCCTTGCCAGAGATCTGTCCTCATACGGCATTCGTGTAAACACAATCGCACCTGGTACATTTCATTTCATGATAAACGACGTTATTGCAATTGCTGAGCATAGCTAACTGGCAAAACCTCATTTCTGCACGGCAGGTTTATTCATGACGCCGCTTTTAGCAGGACTTCCGGAAAAGATGCAAAAGGAGCTCGGTGACAGAATTCCATTTCCAAGCCGCTTGGGTAAGCCTGAAGAGTACGCACAGTTGGTGCATGCTATCATTGACAACAAGATGCTCAATGGCGAAACGATTCGTCTTGATGGCGCACTTCGTATGCCGCCGAAGTAAGTGAAAACACGGGTGTAGCTCGACTAGCTTAAACAGCTGCAGTTTCCCTCGTTGATGCCCAAATAAATAGTGCAGCCAATGTCTAGGATATTTAGATTCGATCTGTTGGCGGCAAATAATCACGGCCGATGAAGTCGAAGAGGTCTTTCTCGGATGCAATGGCAAAAAGGGCTTTGGTGTCAATAACTTCTGCTATACTTGAGTAAATGCACTCGAAAGAAGTATCAGAAATCTCTCGCAGTGATCGCTTGAGCAAATCTGCGAAAAAGGTTATTACAAAATCTTCTGGTCCGGTGAAGTACAGCAATGCAAACCAACTTCGAGGTGGGCAGTACACTTTCAAGTCCAACAGAATTGAGCTGTTCTTGAACGGAACGATACAAGCCCCGCGAGTAGCTGTAAGCTGGCGCATTGATCCTTTTTGGATTACCTTAGCTGCCATCAGAGCAGTAACCACGTCATTGAATAACTTTTCATCAATGTCTTCAGTTGCAGAATTGGCTTCCGGAATAGGGACTAGGACTAGAATATCGAGCACCGATACAAATGCGGCGCCACGAGAGAAGGAGCCACAAGGAAATATTTGCACATTTTCATTCCACTTCTCCAGATGAATACGGATGGCATTAAACGCCATCTTTGCGTCGTGTTGACTGATCATAGGTCGTTGCATTGCTGTAAAATCCTCGTCATTAACAGAAGAAGTACCAGAAGCTTTGCACTGTAAATAATCCATACCAGCGTGCAATTGTTCAATGGACGGAAAACCGTGTGCCACTGTTTGAAGCTGCTTTTTCGTGAGTTTGCAAAGATTAAGATGATCGCTGCCATGTTCGTCAATGAGGCGCATCGCCTGACTCTGTTTCATCCCATAGATGTGAAGTAGCGCACGCACTAGATCCCACTTGGAAGCTGTATGCGTAGATCCCGCTTCAGACACGTCACTAAAGTATAATTCTTGCTGGTGAAAGTAATTCTGCTTATATTTGCCCCAGTAACGCGCAATTATGCGCCAGACGTCAAGTGCCACTCCCATAACAGCCGTCTTCATCGTCACATAGTCGGCAATCACTATATCTCGCTCTGACAATGCTACACCCAGCACATCAGCCTCCCACATTGCGGTAAACACTCTTCGAGCTAGTTTACAGGCTTGTACTCGCCAGCGTTGCTGTCCCAGCCATCCATTACGGGCAACAAACTCATCCAGCGCCTGAAGACAGAAAAGCAGCATTGGTCGGCGTATAGCTCCTTGGTGAATCTCACACGATACTCTACCATTTTTCAGCCAGCATGGTGACATCTCACACATTCGATCTGCATCATAATAGTCCATGAGCTCCAGATGTGCATTGGTCCGTGGCTTCTCCAACATCATCTCACTATTAATTAGCGTCGTCACTGGTAATGCCATCCCGCAATCAAGACCTCGACTAGCAATATCACACTTGGTTTCACGTTCGGCCTCAGCGTGCACATGGTTATCTGGTCTATTTTTGCTACTGTCTGTGCTAGCGTTGCTGTTGTTTGGTAGGAAGAGCAAACTGTCTGCTACGGACTCGTTATGTGAGCTCTGCTGACTTGCTTCAATACTTCTGATTCCACTGGATCTGCTTCCCTCGACACCAAATAGAACTGATTCAACGGAGTCACTTGTAAGAGAATGAGAAGGCATTAACTTTGTCGAAGTCGCATTGCTACTACTTGGACTCGAGCACGAATTGTGGACTACTCGGCACGTATCGGGTAGATTAGGGCCAAAAAAGGCAGATTGAAGTGAGCGAATTTCTGGTGGATCCTTATCAAATAGATTTGCTAGATCCGTAAAGAACTTACGCTTGCGACGAGGATGTAGCGCCAACCGCGGCGCAGTAGCGTCGACCATGACTATATTTCGAGACCTGGTGCTACAAAAAGACAAATATTTTATAGCACCTCTGTATACTTGATGTATACTGATCCGATATTTATGGGCCAAGTGTATATAGCCTGAAGTAACGAATATTGTTTTTGCGAGGTTGTAAGTACAAGTGTGTTTCGTCATCAGTTTGTGAGTGGTTGTTCTTGGTGCTATGTTTTTACCGCGCACAATCCATTTGATAGCAACGCTACTTTGACTTTATCAATAGATGTATCAAGATGTTTTGTGGTATTCGCTAACAGAGCTAAATAGCTTCCAGAATTGCCAAATTATTACTTTCCACCTCAATGTGGTGACTGCTAACAAGCGTTACGTTATACTGGGAACATGGCACTCCAAATTTGCCGCACGAGTATACTAAAAGGTGGCAATCAAGCTACCAGACAGCGCGACAACTGTCTACTAGATTCAATATTTCCCAGAGCAGTCAATTACAAACGACACCGATAGATGAGTATCCGTAAGTACCGGACTCAAGTACACTCTATTCAATATGTCATTGTTGTAATTGAAGAAGATGCCTCCGAAAGTATAAACATTTGAGCAAACCAGCTGCATTCTACGCACGAATAAAGTCAGCGCAAGATATAATCTTTCTTTCAAGTCAAATGGAGCTAGGCGGTCCATCACTACTAGGTCACATAATCAATTCTTCTGGAGCCAGCAAAACGTTGCCTAGACCGGTGGGGTCGTACTTAATGAGAGGGCGTTCAAAACGAATTGCGGATTGCTGCATTGCTAGCATGCGATAGTTCACGGCATAATTCTTCATATCGATTACTTCAGCGATACCGAGTGGCTTGCCATGAGTGAAGAAATCGTTTACCGAATGCAGTATGCTTGCTCATCACGATCAGGCAGTGTGCGCTATCACTGGAATAAGAATGATCCGCGATATTGACAAGACAAGCTAGACAGAGTCGTGGTCTTGCTTACGGTTGTACGATTGCAGCAGCTTCGTTATATTGCTGCCGAAGCAACTACCAAAAGGTCACATGCGGGGAATTGTCGCATTTTTACATAAGCAATTTTGTGCTGTCAGCGTATGGGTACCTCTTGTGACCGCATTGGCTTAAGTTGGACAAAGTTTACGCTCGTACTTTGAGCAGTAAAGCTATACTCGCGACAGCGAAGAATGCCGTTGATAGCCGAGTTATAGAAAAAACGACTTGTGCGATGAGTCAATGACATGCAAAGCATAATCAATCTTTGTCCAGCCTTATTGTCGTCTGTGGTTAGTGCATGGCCGGGTCGTGCGGGACGGCGCGTCGTGTGCATGGTGCGAGATACACACAGTAGCACTGCGTCACCACGCTGCCATGCAGCTATCACAGCAACTTTTACGACCTTGTTGCTGGAGCAGCAGACGTCCACGCGGGTATCGTCTTCAGCCTTTTTATCCATCACTTGGCGACAGGGTCGGAACCTAACTGGGTCGCGTACATCTCGACATTCGCATCGGTCGTTGACTTTATAGCTTGTCGACCTGTGAAAATGTGAAATGTTAAAGGCTAAGCACGTGGTGAATAGCTTTGTTTTAGCTCCCTTAGTGTGCAACTAGCTACAGCTTCTTGAGATGGCGCTGTTCTGCTTCAATAGCAGCACATCCAACACATTGAGCAAACAGCATGAAACCAAGCGTGAATATATTTCAACACGAATGCATTAGAACTCATTGGAACTACATGCCTGCGAGGCCAAAAGTCGGCGCAGACATCACGCTGACAGGCAGAAGCCGGGCGAGGAAGTAGCTATCGCTAACTCTTATGTTTTTCAGTTCAATTCTACAGTCAATCTCTGCACTCCTCCAGAGCCAACTACTAAGTCGAAAACGCAGCTAAGTTTAAACGCGCACGGCTGGGGAGTTCACGAATGAGCCCTCCTCCATGTCAGGATCGTCACTTTTGGCCTTGGCACTGTCCATCAAACCCTTGCGCTCCTTGGTGGCCTTTTCCTCGACCTCGGTTTGCAAATCATCGTCTTCAACAGCGTGCTCGGCCTTGGCACCGGCAATGGTGCGCTCCAAATCTTTCTGGATCTTGCGTTTGCGAATAATAAAGAGAACCAGCACGGCAATGATTACAAAAAGCGCTATCGTAGCAGAGCCGACTATGGCAACCTCCTCAGCATCAAGCTCCTCAAGTCGAGTCATAAAGTCCGTCTGCACAGCCTCCGCACCAGGATTGAGTCCGTTGCTGGCGTGAATGTGCTTCATGGGCTGAGCAAGGAACTGCTTGCGCTGCTTAGGAGTCATGCACTCAGGCACTTCATCCTCGATGCGCAGCCAATTAACAATCTCGCCCTCTTCACGATGACCACACTCAGTCAAAAGCAACCTCTTTCCCTCTGGAATGAAGTTCAAAATGAACCGGCCCTGAGTCTCGTCTTCACCATTCTTCGTGCAATTAATGTACGCCACAACGTGGTACGCAAAGCGTCCACTTTCCTCCGGCTTTTGTTCCACGGCATTCATCGTCATGTTAAAGGTATCGCATACCTCTGAGTCGTTGTACGAAATGAATGCGTACAGTGAAGCCTTGATAACAAGCAGCGGAGGGTCATCGTACACACTGACCCAGCCATCTTCATTGTCCAAATTAATCTTGTCGATTTCGGCGCTACCTTCGGAGGATCCGTCAATAATTCCGTCGTTAGAGTCACCCTTAATCTTCTTTTCGTTAACAGTCTTGGTCGTTTCATCTTTTTTCGCCGCTTTCTTGACCTTTTTCTTCTTGGGCGCCTCCTCTAAACGTTCCTCCGTCTCCTCTGACTTCTCGGCTTTATTTGGAGTCCCAGCCACATCTAAGCTATCCGCATCCTCAAAAAGTGGTGCTTTTTTTTTCTTCTTCTTTGGTGCTTCAGTCGTCTCTTCCACGTTTGTGGTCTTCTTTTCAGCAGCTTTGGCAGCCTTCTTTCTCCGAGGCGGTTTTGTTGCCTCAGGAGTTGCCTCAGGAGCTGAAGCCTCATAAGTATCGTCAGCAGGTGCCGGTGCTTTTTTCTTGTGCTTCTTCTTAGGAGGTGCCGTTTCTGCGTCTCCATCGGCCGCGGGATCTGCAGCAAGCACGCGCGTTTCATGTGTTAAATCGATCCTAGTGTTATCAAACGCTGCCATATTAGCAAGCGTGTTCGCCTCTGTCATTGAAGGTAGTGCGAGGGCCGAGATTGCAGCTGTAGCCAGCAGTGCCACGCGAATTATTCCAGAGATACGCATTGTCAGTACTTGGTCTCGTTTTCTATTATGAGGCAAAATACTTCCGAGTTCTGCTGGGCGCGAGGAAAATTCGGGATTGATGGGGATAGCAACGTGGGCGGCTGCGAGCCCAAGCCAGTGAATACGGACTGCCTCGTGGACAGCAACGTGTTTTTTGGTATTTAATGACCAATCAACAGGCAAGACAGAAGCTGAATTTAGGACATGAAGAAACGCAGGTCAGATTAGTACTGAGTGCCAAAAAAATGTCGATCGACTTGCATTAAAATATATAGTATAACAGGTTTGACAAGCGCTTAAGATTAAGTGGAGAGAAAGGGGTGAGGGAGAGGACGATAAGAGTGAGTAGGGTTCGAAATGTGAACAACTGGACGTTCGGTACCTTACTGACGACACCTGTTACTAAGGGCCTCAACGGTTTATCCGTTGCTCTTCGTACAGTGGTATGGAACAACTGGCAAGAAAAGTCTATTGACAGTATCAAGTGTGACTTGACTGTTGCGATTAGAGGGATCACTTTTTTAATACATTGTATTTAAAGATGCAGCAGACTTGATTGATACAGTCAGTCGTCACATTATCATCACACACTAAAAATGCATGAACTATAGCTACAAACTGCATGAAAAAAATACATAAGACTTGTGGTGTAAATGCTTCAGATTAGAAACACGCGTCTTTTTTCACTTGCTTACGAGGAAGAAGCACATCTGATTGCACAGCAAATCAGAGCCCAATCAGCGTGTGCTTCGTGGCAAAGTCTTTCGTACTTAGAAGAGACTGTATGTAACCATGATGTAAGCAAGGATGTGGAAAAGCCTAAACACGGGATTGACCGTAGACGGCGACGACACGACGACGAGACGAACAGAGTATTACAGTAGCAACAACAATATGATCGCGACACTTGGATCAACTCCAATACTATATGATGCAGCAACAAACTGGAGAAGGATGTTGAAGATATTTTGGCCAAGACGTTGTCAAGGTTAGTGACTCTTATGGATGACACTAGGACGCGTCGGTAGCAACGCTATGCTGTTGAGAGATCCATGAGGCTGAGAAATTTGCATGCAAAAAAAGACTGAGAGTATGGCAAAACGAGAAGGGTGTAGCAAGCAATAGGCGAACGCTAGTGTCATCGACAAGATCAGAAAAGTCTAGCTCTATCTAACCAGTAGCAGATGAGGTTATCCAGTACACAGCGTGTATCCTCCTTCATATCTCTCTGTGATGATACTGCATGTATGCTGCTGCATCGTACCGAGGCACGAGGTGTGATGATAGCGTTGCGACTAAAACCAGGACTAAAGAGTGTATATAATCTTATGAAAACCTATGGATGTGGAATGTCGCGAAGGAGACTGCTTCCTTTTGTAGGCAGGACCAAATGCATTCTACCGTTCTCTGCGTGCCTTGAGCTGTGTTCTGTCTCTCTTTGTCTGTCGCATTACTAAGCAAGGACCAAATTTAGCTTTGGAACATAATGATAGAGACAGAGATAGAAATGACATACGCTATCTAGCCTTTTGAATGACATTTGCAAGTTTCATGTACCTGTAACATTTAGTTTATTTGAGTTTTGAACAAGAAAACAACCAAAACACTTAGTCAACTGAAAATATACCTGTGTTTTCAAATATTACTTCAAAACTCAGTGCGTCTTTTGTTTTAAAACTCGTCACATACTGAGACAGCAATCAATCGTTGGTGTCATCATGGCCGAGTTCGTAGAGATGATCCTTGCTCAGGTTCGTTTATCATGATACTCTTGCGTCGTGTCTTATTTTGTTCATACGCTTGCTCTCTTACTATAATGACAAATGTCCATGCACCTCTTCCTTCTTCATCTATCGATTTGTCGCACTAATCAGCTCATTGGCAATATTTCAACCGCGCTCATCCTAATGCTCATTTATTTCAACTTTTTGCTCTTTGAAAACTATTTGAGACTTATTGTATGGGCAATTGTATGCAGTCAAGCACTACGTCAAGCAAAAAATAATGTCATCTCTGTGCTCCAGTATCTCAGTGATGATGCTGACATTAATCGTTATGTACGAAATAGTAGTTCATTCATCAGACATTGACGTGATAGAAGAAGAAGAAGATACTGATGACTGTGATATGCATGCGACTTGCAGGGCTTTCTAACATGTGTATTCTCCAAGACAACGGAGATCTTCATCAGTCATCCACACGATGGATCGCGTCGCACGGCTAATGAGATGTTCTTGAATTACGGCATTTTCCTGTTTTCACTCATTGGTGCCGTATCCATCTGGATGCGAATGTACTCGTGGGTATCGTTTTTGAGCATTGTTATTGTCTCTTGGATCACGGTACTAAGTCTTATCAAGATTCTGGATCGACGGATCTTTTACTACCGATACTTTTTTTCGGACGAAGTGCTTGTGTCAGTGCTGCTTATTCTCGGGTTCTTTACCACGGTACGATTTTTGATCGATTGTATTTGATGTTGGCTTACAGACCTTGTGTGTATATTTATACGACTTTTGGTCGGATGGATAAACAGGGAGCATTTGTTATTTTGTTTCTCGGCACTGAGAGTTATTTGGAAGGAAGTCGCGCAGCTACTGATTTGTCCGAGTGGGTACAGGACAATTTTATCAATGACGAGCGTACGCGACAGGTGTGGAGTGAACAGGTTGAAAACAGCCGCGCGATGATCTCACAAGCCATTAGCGGCGTCGAGAATAACTTTAACGACACAATGTGGTGGCCACCTCTTAAAAGTTTGGTAAAGACATACTACGTGGACGCAAAGTTCTCTGACGGGAACTCTACCTCGCAATCATCTTTCTTTTCCCGACTAAGTCTTCCCGAAAACATGACGCTTGTAGAAGCCGTGACTTTTGCGTACTCAAATTTGGACTCGGTGAATATGACGTCGGTGCAGCTTACTGACTGGACGTCAAAGGGATTAGAAGTTAGTAGCATCGCCGTTGGGTCAGTGGCACAATTGGTATTTCTCGTGTTCACATTGGTGATTGCGTTTGTGAGTCTCGGCATCCGGTCTTTCTTCTTCGTTTCGTCGCTTTTTTATCTACTGTGCACGAACTGGGATCCTGTCGAAAGATTTGTTCAAGATTTACTTCCGATACAAATTAACAAAAGACCAGAAGTTGTTCGGTCTTTGCGGAAAGCGATTGAGGGCGTTTTTTTTCTGCCTCTAAAGATGGCGAGTATCCACGCGATTGTGACGATGGTTTCCTTCACGATAGTGGTGCGTATATTGCTTAGCAACTTGCTGCGTTTGTCGTTCTGTGCTCTGATTAAATTATGCTTTCCATTTTTGTGTCGTGTACAGGATGCTGACTTCATGTATCTCGCCACAACAGTAACCTTTTTTTATTTCAATCGTACCGATCATTCCTCCATATTTGGTTTGTGTGCCGTGGGTCATCTCGATCGGGCTTACGTCTTCGATTGTTAGAGCGCTTGCTCTCTTTGCGGTTCAGTACGTGGCATTTAATGTATTGGATGAAATGCTATATGAAAAGAGCATTGTCGCGCTCAATTCTTACGTCTCCGCTTTGAGTGTGGTGCTCGGCGTATATGTGTTTGGCTTTGAGGTGAGCTGCGTTGGAAACTGTGTTCTACCAATTTGTTTGTACCCGGACTGTATTGTATTGAGCACTAATTTCTTGTTTGCGTACCAAAGGGCGTTATCTTTGGACCGTTAATCGTTTGTGGCGTGACGTTTGCATACGACGTGTCAAACCACGGCATTCAAGCTGCACATGATGAACACGCTAGATCCGACGAAGGGAAGCAAGATTGTCTGGATGGCAGTGATGGGGAAGAATCTCGTAGCACAACATCCTCTTTCGACTATGCTGACCACGAGAAAGACAAAGGATTTAACGATTACTCGGAGGGTAATGCTGATCAAGGAGCGAATACTAACATTTTTTCGGATGCAGTTTATCGCGTTATTTCCGGACCGTTGGTGGACCGTGTTTGCCGCCGCCTTTCAATGGATGTAACCACAGAAGGGTCTGTGTGCGTGACTTTGGTTGTCGAAGGTATGAAAAGAATTCGAAAAGTCCGCTTTGTGGTGAATAAATCATGGACCCAAAAAGCACTGCACGATAATATTCGTCGTATGTTACACGCTCATAGTGTTGAATGTAAGATTAAGCTATTTCATTACGATCATGTTGTATATCGTAATCAACTCTCGATACGTTGCAATTTGTGTAGGTATCAGCACCGCAGATGGCGTGGAGGTGTTGTCTCCACTTCACATTGTGGCGGGCGAGGTACTGCACGTAAGAGTGCGACCAAAACATCGACTGCACATGTACGCGGACTCAGACTTAGAATCGCATGGGCGCGTTTCCTTTCCAGTTCGGGCACTATCTCCATCGTACCACGGGAGTCGCAATGTTCCTTCACTTCCGCTGTCATGCTCACGTGACGGATTGAAGGCGAGAAGTCCTGGAACACCTATTAAGGCCAAACTTAGACGATCTGGGTCTTTATCCTTTTCGGTCGGGGTCACTCGTGACGCGACAGCAATACAACGTCAAGTTTATGCATGCCTCCAGCGCAAAAACGAAGGCGCAGTCACGCAGGTTGGAGGTGACATGAAGAGAAGAGAAAGCTATAAAGTGGTGGCGTCATCTAGAGACCCTGCTCCATCTTCATCGGCTAGTAGTTCACCTTTTTGTGAAAATCTCGTTCACCGGTCAGTTACAAACCTCTCGTCTACTACGTCATCACTGGCTCAAGCTTGTGAATTGGTAACGTTCGATGAGAACGTTCTGATGTCAAAAGTCGAAGCGTCTTTAACCGATGACAAGGATAGTGAAAGATGCGCGGATGCATCCATTGAGGTAAGCAACAATATGGATATACCGTCTCCTGGAAGCGTAGGATCTGTGAAGCCAAGAATGTCAAAACCAAAATTTGTCGCCATGAGCGACTCCGAAAGCTTTCCGACATCCCCCGTCTCGTGTAATGCCAGCAATTCCTTTGATGATCCAAACGATGCAAACGACACTGTCGAAGACAATGCAGCAAGTACTGCAATACCAGACATGAAGACGTTTGCAAAGTCCAATTTGAAACCAATTCTTGAAGTCAAAAGTACGAAGCAATAGCTGATCTTGTTCACCGCTTCAGTTGATTTGAACACGTGCTTGTAAGAAGCTTTTTGCCGTGAGCCGAAGATTGTAAATAAGGCAGAAAGGAAGATAAAATAAGTAGTAGGTCACTCACCTCCAGTATGCAACACATCGCCTTTGCGTGAGTTCGCAAGTCAAAATTGTTTCCGCAAAGGCGGGGGATACGGGTAGATGAATTATATCATCAAACTCGCAAGCCGCTGCTTTTTTTTCTTGAGCACGGCTATCTCGTCGTCAAACTCGCTCACTATTTCTGGGTTGTTTTCCGTCGCTCGTTCTCGATAAAGCGCGCGCAAACGATCACACACAATCGTCCAGGCCTCCATGTCCATGCGCTGTTTCTCGCGCATAGTCCGCTCTTTTTCCCACGCTGCTTGCTCAGCTTCTCGTTGTTCCCGCTGCCGTAGTAGTTCGAGTTCTCGGCTGGCAATTTGACGAGCTGAATCGCCATCACAATCCTCTGGATCGTCAATGGCGCTAATACTATCTTTTGAGCGGTTCACCATAAGTTCAGAAGCCGGTACTTCAGCACTCACCGGCCGTTCCACTACATCAACTACCATGTCTTGCCGTTCAACATTTTCATTCTTTCGTGTCTTAGCATGAGTCAAAAGAATAGAATGCTCTTCGTGTGCATCTGGAAAGCTTTCTTCTGGCGTATGAGAAAAGGAGACGTTCGATTCACTTCCAGAACGCTGGCGCTTTCCCAAAGTCAAACGCAAATCAATATCTCTTTGTATGGCACGAGCTTGAAGCGTTTCTTCGGGTACCATCTTTCCCGTGCCAGTACCATGCTTCCAATTTACTAATTGTCGAAACTTGCTCTTGATTCCTGTTAAATTCCTTTGCGCACGGTCGTTGGGGGTAGCATGATTCATACGGTACAGTTGCAGTACTCGCTCCCAACTTGTCGGGCCTGATGGCAGTACGTCCTTGATGCACGAAAGTAGTGCCCACTTGTCCGATTGAGAATACCCTTCTGATCCAACAACTCGTCCACCACGCCGGAGATCAGCAACAAAATTCGCTTTCTTACCTTTACTATTTGCAGTACAATCTTCATGTTCGTACGTTGCGTCCAGAGCGATAATTTCCGTCTCATCAATATTTCTCTCTTCCACGTCTTCAACACTTTCGTTTATTACCACGTTCTCTGGCCTCAGATCTTCCATCGACTCATCATTCATTCCCCCTTGATTCATCTTGGCACTTATTTCCATTTGAATAGCTATTGCTTCACTGATTTCAGCTCGTGGTACGGTCCCTACATCGTTCTTTAGCAAGTTACGGAACTTGCTTTTGAGCGAAATTCCATCCCTACTGAGTCGATCATTAGGTATTGAGTATACTCTGCAGTATTCCTCTGCAACTTGCTCCCAATTTGCTCGATTTACAGGCAATATCTGTCGTACGGTTTTCAAAATTGCCTGGGAGTCTGCGGCTGAAAATCCTTCAGCACCTCGTGCGCGGCCTCCTCGTCGCTGGAGACACTGACTGCCCGCCATCTTGGCTTCAATGAGTTCCAATATACTCCCAGCTTCTAATAGTTCTGGTCGAACACTCTCTCCAGGTCGAAATTGTCGTGCCAATTGCTTAAACTTGACCTTCAGCGAGTTAGTATCGCGTTGGGAACGAGTGTTTGGGATTGCGTGCGTCTTGCGATACCCAGTCAGCACTTGATCCCATTCCTCCGTTTTCGTTGGCACCACATCTCTCACACACTTTAGTAGCGCCATAATGTCCTCCTTGTGATAACCCTCAGCTCCATGCACGCGACCGCCGCGACGTTGAGGAGGACTCATTTAATTCTACTGCTTGAAATTACTTAAATTTAAATGGCTTAATTAGTCCTTTAGATAGATAAAAATTTGGTCTTAATGGGACTAATTGGCTAGGAACATGAGATGACAATGATGGACACGATAGACGTAAACGAAGCGCTTACAAGTCTTTCATGAACGCTATTGGACTACCCGGTCATAGTGGTAACGCGTGAGAGCTGACAGACAAAAGTGTTTCTAATGTTGTAGGAAGAGCTGGTGTTCGTCATTCTGGAAGCGTATGTCGTGATTCTAGTGGCATCGGCAACGCTATTACGTTGTCCATTCTGTTGCTGATTCGTTGTCGGAACGCAACATTTGCTACTTTGAATGCATAAAGCTTATGACATTTTTTTGTAAAGGAATGAAAGCGTTTGATAGAATCTATGATTGCGTCGGGAACAAGGATGGCATTGGTAACGTTCTTCGGAGGAAAGATATCCCGTCCAGTAGACGAACCATCCCCCGGAAGTCAATTCAGCCAACATCGCATAAATGCCGATGTGATTACTTGCTTGATGGCTTGAGCTGCGTCTGTGAAGTCGACTATAATGTGACCTTTGAGACCGACTGAAGTTTTAGCGACGCAGAAAGGAAATGTTGAGATGCTGTGGAATGAAAACGAATCTGTGAAAATTGATGAAGAAGCTACAGTATTTGCTGCAGCTTTTTGCTATTGCATAGGATGCACGCATGAATATGTAAGGCCGTTACTTGTGGTATCGGGGTGCGTCGATATGTCGGTCTGTTGTTTTGTTTAGTGCTATTTAGTATACCAAGCGTGTCATGTCAATGGTAGTAAAGGCTACTGTAAACCAATAATGCAAACTTATTCTGGACAGCTTCCTTGATGAGCTGGGGACAAGACGACATAACTAAGGTAAACAACAGCAGAAAGAGTGATGGAATTGAGCGTGCGCATGCCTCAATAACTACAAGCCAAAACCCGGTGAAATATAGAGGTTCTCCTACAAAGCAGACCAACGTTACGCGGTGATAATACATTTGCCAGTGGTCCCCATGGTAGTAACGAAGTTTGCAAGCTTTCTTCGTTGTTTGCCCTGGCGGAAATTTTGTGCACCAAAACAAAGTCTGATACAGCAGCCAATGCTGCTGCTACCAGTAACTTTGAGGTGATCCTGTCGCAAATTCAGTTGCGCTGCTGAGAGTAATGTTGAAGCGCTACATGAAGCTCATAGCTAGTTGATGAATGCTTCCACCGTTGCTGTCACTGTCATACACCGTACATGCGTGAAAGACAAAATGAATGGCCCTCTACACTCACTTGTTGCAATAACGACTTGACACACCATTCTTCGCAGTAATCTTGCCAACGCATTGCGTAAATCCTACTACACAAATCCAATACACAACTGTCACGCGCTTTAGAAGCAAGCACATGCTTTCGCACTTCGTCGTATAGATTGACACGTTACTACAAAGAGGTGCAGCGACGAAGGCAGGAAGTGCCAGCACCCGCGTGTCGACATAAATCCTCTCCAAATAGCTGTCGTTTGTAAACTGAAGACGCTAGCACACCAAACGCACACGACAGGAACCAAAAAACGTATGTAACGCTTGAGATGAACGCGAAAGATCCGTATGGGTGTACGAAGATCGTCCGGACACCTGAAAGCTGTGGACTATGTTGTGGTCTCAGGTGCTGACCTTGTGGTCACAAGCTTTACCGTCTCGTGCCGTAAATCACATTCTGTCCACCATTTGCGGTTGCCTGTCAATGACTGAACAATTTGACTCAACACGAGTGCCGGGCAATAACAACCGTACCTTCATCCAACTCGCAGCTCATGGCGGCTTGTAAGTGCATCGCCAAAATGCTAGTGAATGCTGGCTTCCGATAATGCAAGCACAGCGGATGAGGAGGCTCTAGCTAAGCAGACTCTTCAACCATTATGAAATGCTTGGATATACAGCTCTTTGTGGTCATATTGTATGCACATGTAAGCAGATTGTACACTTGATAGATAATGGTCACTGCGAAACCTTCTCAATCGTATCATGAATTTACTTATGCCATCTACAAAAACGCCGTATTGCATACTGAAGCCAAGCACAGGCTATAAAATCCCCATTTATTGTCATTTGTGTTGTAACAATGATGGCACCGCTTGGACTGGAGACAAAGACACAACGTGGCATCTTTGTCACGTATATAGGACTCTGGGTGGGATACGGAATCCTGAACGAGGTGGCGAAGCGACAGGGTGTGTGCTTTAACTCTGCCTGTGCTGTAGTACTCCAGTCGCTGCTCAAATTTTTGCTAGCGAGCTACATGTATCTAACATACGACGCTCAAGCAACAGGGTCACTATTCATTCGCCTTCAATTTATGCTGACTCAAGCCTTTGAGCATCGCAAGCTTTTTTCTGCTTTACTTTGTTCCATCAGGACTCTACGTTATCTATGACGTGTTGTCATACATTAACCTGCGCGCCTTCGACGCTGCAACCTACTTTCTTCTGCTTCAATTCCGACTCGTGGTGACGGGCGTATTGCACCAAGCAATGTTCTCCAAGAGACTTAACCGGAATCAGTGGATCTCATTAGGTGTTACTACGGTGGGGTGTGGCATTAAGACATTAGGTTCACGAGACACGAACGGTTCGACCAAGCTGGAAATCCATGGCGATAGCCCTACACTTGTGACTTACGGATTGTTAATGGTGCAGATGCTCAGCAGTACGTTTGCTGGTGTATACAATGAAGTTCTACTGAAAAAACAAGCTTTGATTCCAGTAAATCTGCAGAATGTATTCATGTACATCGACTCGCTTGTCTGTACGCTGGCCATGCTGGCGCTGGGGGTTACCGGACAGACGGCTCAAGAGGCGCTCACGACTACTAACTTCAGTGTGCTTTTCTCACCTTATGTGTTGCCAATGGTGCTCATAATGTCAGGTATTGGCGTGGTCACGAGTCTCTTTTTAAAGCAGTTGGATTCCATCCGCAAAGCAATTGCCAGTGCACTGGAACTAGTGTTTCTACCAATGCTCAGTGCTGTGTTTTTCAGCTACCCGATCACACTGTACACAGTGGCTGCGGTGTGTTTGGTGGGCTTTGGAGTCTACGTTTACTCGCTGCCAATGGAAATTACAACTGTAACACGATACCTGCCCCAATATGCTAAAGTAGCGTCGAGTGAAGCAAATGAAGGAGTGAGCAACAACACAGATAGTATTGCTGACTGTGAGTCCAACTCCATCAGCAAACTTGCTTAGAAATGAACCACTTTTTATATCTTGCATTCTCTCCTTTTATCTTGATGAGTTTTTCTTGTCGTCCGTCTTGGGACGTATTCGTAAAAGAAAGTCGGCAGCTTTTGATAAATCGAAAACTCGTCCGCAACATCATGCACTTTGACGTCTACAAGATCATAATGTCACTTTGATATAAGTGCTTTATCCATAGAAATATAATATTCACGTAAAATATACTTCTTACCGCTTGCATTTTGTCGTTTAACCATTGTACTAATGGGTGACGTGTAGAGCTCCCCGATTTCTTTCCCATAACGATCCCATAGCACCATAATAAGGAATAGAAGAAAGAGAAGAAGCACGACCAATGCGCTTAGCAGTTTAAGCTCCAAAGGGAAATTGTAACGCATAGGATCTCCCAACATCTCTCTTATGCTACCCGATATCTCCATGGGAACGCGAGATCCAGCGGAATCTGCTGCGACTTCCATCGCCGGCATGTTGTCTAATTTGGGATTTGAGTATTGTATACTTTAATTTTATTTAATCTAATACCGCAGATTAAAAAACTAGGCCAGAATTTTCTAGTAAAACTTAGCTAAACCGATACCGTTAAGACAAAATCGAATATCCGTTAAGAAAGTTTGTCAGACGAAACCTTCGCGGAGTAAGTCAGGACGCAAACTGGGCTCATAACCTGGTGAGTGTATGGAGAAGGCTACGGGTCTTTTGAGCTCTAGTTGCTAGCAGTAAGTAAAATGAAAAGTGAATCAATGTTAGCTAGGTCTTTAGTTCGCTACGCTGCACTACCTATATGCCTAATCATATCGATGCTACGATATTACTAACTAACAATGAGTCGATACCCATCGTTACACACAATCTCGCTTTGTATGTGGTGCGTGACTGTCGCGGCACTTCAACATCGCCAGCAATAAAATTCTCTGATCTTGGCCTCCTATACCAGTGCCTCAAACTTCTTCGTCGGAAGTGGTTTGTTCAATAAGTCCGCTAGCTGCGACTTCGTTCCGTGCACTTATGCTCGATAATTTTTTCCTCCACTTGACCATGCACAAAATGTTACCCGATGTCGATGTGCTTGGCTTGACACTAATAGTCGTCATGGTTTCTTGTGCAATAACGCTTTTGGTTGTCTACATGTATCGGTATCGTATAGTTGATCTACACTTGCAACTTTTGTCAGCAGGCTATTTGTACAAACAGTCACCGCAAGAGATGGTAAGGTTGCGGGAAGATGTTACCTATATAACCAATATGGTCATGTAATGGGGCAACCCATTATATTAAGTAGTTGTAGGTTTTATTACATAGTGACATAAGTGTGGTATATGCAGTATCGTTAGTTACTGTTGCGCTATTGTTGGGGTGCCATACCTAATACTTAGCCAAAAGTAAATCGGCCAGAAGAGATCTCCTTCGTACTTAGTACGAACTAAACACAAACATACAAGAGTTAATTTTACCCTACACAAGAACACCGCTTCCTCAAGTTACCTTATAATGTAAGACGGTAACGGGCTCTCATCCCGTTACACCTCGTAGCACTTAGTAGTCCTTTCCATGACCAAGTACGAGATAAGCATGGACGAATCTACGATGGCTCCAGCGGAACCGCTAAAGCATGCCGACTTACCTCATCTTACTACTGTGGAATGGCGGGCATTACACCGCCTTGCGGCGGTATCTAGTGAAATCTTCGTAACTTCGCTGCTGGGGTGAAGTGTGTTCTCAAAACTGCGCAATGAGACCCCAAGTCACTTACTGTGCCGGACTGCCGACTGTCGGATGGGTACCACGATGCCGCGTTTTGACCTTCTTTCACCTTGTGTACCCGTCGGCTGGCGGGTTGCACTCTTCGGAGGACTTGGTTGAGATATGATGCCAGCCTTGGACGAGGTCGACCTTGGGGTGCCTCGAGTGGGTATACTTCAGCTCGGTAGGCTGGTAGGTGGCCACTCGGTCGACTAGGTCGAGGGTGGACTTACAACCAAATTCTTCAGGGGATATTCTCATCCCTGGCCTTTTCCTTCCTTGATACCTCAGGGGTGTTAACCGCCTGGCCTTTACTTGCTCCCGGACCACTAGGGTAGGGAGAACAGCCCGCCGATAGCGCGTTGAGTTGGGGGGTGCTACTCAGACGAACCCACAGGACAACTGTATCTTGAGGCTCTATTTGCACTTGGGTCTTACCACAAAACTGTCTTCGACGAGGGGGGAGGCAAGATGTATCTCTTCCCGGAACCGATGAGTAGACTTAGTAGATTCCTTGTAAGCACGACGAAGGCGTGCTATGTAGATTGCAAATTGAGTAGCATTTAATATAGTCGTATTTTCTAACTCCTTTACTCTATCTTTACCCCGAGACCTGATTCTTGATTCTGCTTGGCTAAGGTATTTGGACCTCTGGACCGAGGTCGACCTTCAGGGACCGGGGCCTAGAGTCCATCGACCGAATGGCCAATCTCTATCGACTAAAAACCGATGTCCATTGACGGAGGACCAAGATCAAACTTCAGGGACCGGGGCCGAGAGTCCATCGACCGAAGGGCCAAGGTCTATCAACGAAGGACCGAGGTTTATTGACAAAGGTCCAAGATCGACCTTCAGGGACCGGAGCTGATAGTCCATCGACCGAAGGGCCAAGGTCTATATTTATGAAAGACTGAGGTCTACCAATGATATACCAGGGTCGATCTTGAAGGACTGGGGTCCATCTTGAGCAACCGCGGTCCATCGGGATAACTGCGGTTAACTCTTTCGAATGGTGGTCAACTAGCACGCTTTGACAGTGAATTATTCCCATCCAACGGTCGTTCCCTGTCCTCTTAAGCAACCCTTCTATCTGTCCCTTGCACAACGGTCGCACCTCCTTGGTAAGTTTCTTTCTCTTTGACCCACTGGTCCTCTGACTTTTCAGTTCTTGAAGCGCTTCATTACACTGGAGAGTTTAGCGACGCCTACACATCACCGTGCCTACATCCAAGAGTACGTGGTAAGTGAGTTTGCCAAAGAAAAAGGGGCGAGTGTAATTTCCCTTGGGCACCTCCCATCATCGGCACGATCAAAATGGAGACGTCCACGTTCTCGGGTGATGGCCCAAAACGTGTCCCTCTTAATCGCTGGTTTTGGAAGATCGATATTGCGATAGCGTCAAGTTTGATTGACGCTCCGACGGCCAAGTTTAATTTCCTGCTATTACGGCTTCTCAGCAAAGCCAAAGAATGGGCCCTTAGAAAACTCGTCGTTGATGAGTCGGCGTTGCCCACGCTGGACGAGATCCAGCGCGACTTACGACTGGCATTTGAACCTCCTCGCTTGCGTGCAGACTCTTTAGACTTCGTGGCTATGTGTAAAAGACACGACATCTTGTGTCGTGTATTACCGCCCAGCCGATCGACATGGCCTAACCAGCCCATGTCTTTGTAGTCAGTATGCAGGAGGTCATGACGCGTTATTGCCTGACACGTGCTGAACTGAAGACGCTCAAGAAGGAATTTACACTCGCGCTTCGTGAAGATTACACGGTCGCGTCGTCATTCTTGCACCAGCGTTGCAACGTCCGCCTATGTCTGATCCAGCATAAGGAATTGATGCGATAGAGGCATCACGAAATTCCAGCAATCAATTTGGCTGCGATGTTCGTAGTCAAAACTTGATGTATTGTTTTTTGGTGCGGCAAAACAGGCCATCTTGCGGCCGTCTGCCTAGGACCAGCGCCAGTGTCCATTAGCACAGCTGTTTTACGTGAAGATATTGTGTCGTCGACGGTCCCGCCAAAAGCGAGCGGTTCCAGTAGGCGCGGGGCGCTCTACTGGCATGAGGGAGCCCCGAGTATTTAAGTGGCAGCTCGGACTCCCAGACCCCAAGTGATCCATACTCACCTCCATGCCACCACCACGCGCGACGATTCAAGACTGATCATCATCAGTCTCGTCATCGCTGGAGTAAACGATCACTCCGAGCGTTGTTGGATTCGGGTGCATCCAAAACTTCTTTCAAGAATCATGTTTGTCTCTTCTCCCGTCTAAGATTATGATTTTTAAGTAGGTCCAGGTGACGTTGCTGTCAAACTTGCTGATGGACAACCGCAGCGGGTCCCGCGCAAAACAGTGGTTTTACCGTATACAGTTTCAAAGCAATGATAAATTCTGGTGTACGAGATAAACTACGCATACGATTGCATCTTGGGGAACCGCGGCTGTCACGGTTCATCCGACAACTGATTGGATATCTCGTTCCGAATTCTGGCCGCCAGCGCCCCGAGTACTTAATCTTTGCTCTTTCTTGCATTTGACAATCTCCATAGTTTATTGGGACAAGAGAGCGGCCCAATTACCAAGCCGTCCCTGTAAACCCGTAGACCCGACTAGCCACTCCAATGTAGAATGCCTCGTTAGGACCTTGAGGGGTCGAGTGACCAACATTGTAAAACAAGTTTCCATTATCCGTAATAAAGCCAGCACTTCTTTCTCCACCGTAATGTAGTTCAACTCGTTGGCCTTAAGGGTCCGACTCGTAAAAGTCACCGGCATTAGAATGCCACCATGGTCTTGCACTAACGACGCGAATACGGCCCGTTCACTTGCATAAACGATAATTACTGCCTCCTTGGACGGGTCAAAGTGTCGCAAGATAGGTGCAGTGGCAATCTTATTATTGAGCATAGCAAAGTCTACTTGGGCCCTGAACCATTTCCCCTCGTCCTCTGCCTTAGTCACCCCACTGTCCCCCGTCCTCGACCTACATCGACAATCGTTAAAATCCACTTCTTGTAACTCATAAAGGATCAACGCATACACTGCATAATCTTCAATGAATCTACCATAGTAATTCAGACTTCCCAGAAACGATTGCATGGCTTTGAGTGTTGTTGGCAACGGTAGGTCGACCAAGGACTGAAGGTCCTTTGGGTGGGCCTCTAGTCTTTGATCCGAGACCCGGTGCCCAAGGTAGTCTACCTTCCGGCACTACTATGAGCTCTTAAAAAAAAAAATTTTTTTAAAAAAAAAAAAATTGGTTTTAAAAAAAAAATAAAAACTTTTTTTTGACCGCGCTGATCGATAGATTCCAATAGTCACACACATCAAATAACCGCTCAACCTTTGCGCACAACGTGTTCCACGAGTCGTCGGGTATCAAAGTGTCATCTATATAGGATCGCCGACCCAGTACCGAGGGACCCGACTTTACATCAGGCTCCCCCATCGTAAACAAGTCTTCAGTCTCCTCCGTACCAGCTCCTTGGGGGATACGTAAGAACCCATACAAAGCATTATCCAAGAGTCTCTGATATATCTGAGGCGCGTTCTTGAGTCCAAATGGCATCCGTAGCCATTCTAACAACCCCCCAGTGGGGTGGCAAACGCCGAGATCCTTCTCGACCTTTCGGTCAAGCCGACGACCCAAAAACCACTTGCCATATCCAGGGAGCAGTACCACGATGCTCCGTTCAGGTCCTCCAACAATTCGTTGATTAGAGGCATGGGGTAGACCATAAGCTGGGTCAAGTCGTTCACCAACCGATAATCAATACAAAGCCTGATATCTACTCCTTTTTGCTTCACGATAATGACGATTAGGATGGCCATGGCGAGGGATGTTAGAATTACCCTCGAGGCTATTTTACCTATGGTAAATACACGACTTCGGGGGTCTCTACCGCGCAGATGGATATATCACATTCAGCAACACTATTAACGGGCGGAATGAATAAATCTACGAGCGGCCAGTCAAGCTCAGATACTAGCTCACAAAGAAGGGGTGGTACAATTGGGAATAATCTGAACCTTGTGCCCAAGAGGGTTAAGGAGTTCCCCGACCGACCGAGAGCCTTGTTGGATACGGACGAAATGAATCGGGTCGACTCCAATGAATACCTGTTTCCGGAGGACAGTTGGGTAAGAGAACTGGAAGAATGAGAGTACAAGGTCGAGGAGATTTTGAAAGCCCGCACTAGAAAGAAGATGCGCTACGGAAGACAGTAACGAGAGCTTCTCGTCCGATGAAAAGGGTGTACAGATCCCTCGTGGGTGGATGAATTGGATTTGAATTGTGGAGCCTTACTTTGAGATTATGAACGCAAGGAGACAAGGAGAAATTGCTTCGAAGCGATGCAAAGACATGAGGGCTAGTGGCGGAAGCCGAGGTCTTTGGATGGTCGACCAGAGTCTAAAGTGGGTTGACCTCGGCCTTCTGATGTAGACCGTTAGTTGTTTGAGGTGGACCATGGTTTATCATTGGTAGACCTTGGTCTTCTGAGGTTGACCCTGGTCCATCAGTGGTAGTCCTTGGTCTTTTGAGGTTGACCCTAGTCTTTAGTATGATGAAGGGAGCAAAGCGGCATGAAGTTTAAAGGTAGAGAGAAGTAGATTACATGACGAAAGCTGAGAGGAAGACGAACAGGTATATTCAAGTGGAAATGCCTACGGAGTGGAGACATGTTTGTTCCAGTTGCGTGGTACCGAGTGCTCCGACGAGAGCCGACTATGGGTGATCCAAGGGTAGGTGGAGTCGAAGATCTTCGGGGCTTCCAGCAAGTTGGCGGTAACCGACCCTTCCTCACAGCCTGGAAACCAGTACGCTATGCAGCGAGGCCGAGGAAAACGTCGGAAGAGGGGATTAAGCGGAATGTCGATATCGCATCGACCGTCACTCATTCCTTTGAAGATCATGTCAGCGACTCCTCGCCACGCCCGAGTCGCACGACCACGATGCTTCTTTCGCGCATTATAATACGACTATAGGAAGGTGCTGGCGCGCGCTTGGTCTTCAGAGATCCATAAGCAGTGGGTGGCCTCCCCACTCGCTTGGCTGTGGTCTTCGTCAAAACGCATGTAGTCCGCCTCCAGTTCCGCAAACCAGCCCACTAACTGGAAAGATACAGGTGGGGTCGAGACTCGTGCTGACAGCCATGGTCGGGTAACTAGAAGTATTTTGAGCATTGAAAAGCTGCTCAGTGACGATTTCTACTTGAAAAGTCGTTCGACCTTCTCTTTTGGTAAATCGAACCAGCCTTAAGGCACCTCCAGGCGGTCGATTAAGTTACAAGGGGTCATCTTCACGATGCTCAAGAGTTAACCAGGTCCACCGACCAAGGCGCTACTTCCGCAGCAGTGAACGAATCTACCTGCATATATCCAGGAATAAAGTTACCTTTCAAAAGCGTAGGTGACCCACCTAGGACGGAATCTGCCTTCGTGACGGGGGCCTTCTTATCCAAAACTGACTCGATCTCTGAGTCGGAAGACCTGACATGGCCCGGAACAAAGATGGTCTTAGGGGAGCAACACGTCGTGGGACATAAGCGGTTGAGGCATATGGGATTGACTGATTGATTGGCGCGGAGCGTCGACTTGAAGACCGCGACCGAGGTAGGTCGACCAGACCACCTTGCTATCTTTGCTTGCCGTGTCGTCGTCCGGACCAGGCGAAGGAGCAGAAGGTAGACCACGGGAGGTCCCAGAATTGGTAGTGGACGAAGCTGGAGTGATAGCCGCACTCGACTTGACAGCTTTAGCGATCTTGGCGGTAGTCGTATCTGGTTGTCGCCGCGGTCGCTTACCTGACGTCGGTGAAGGAGGAACCGTGGGGGCAGTCACTGAGAACCCACGGAATATTTGAGCGGATTCGTGGCATAGTCCGCATGATCCAACTCCGCGGTCAAGAGAGAGTATCGTCTCAGGCGGTAGTCTGTTATCACAAATGATACACCAGCGCTCTATCATGTTGGAGACCCTCTCGCAACTAGACCACGAGGTTGTTGGTGTCCATCAGTTCTCTCTCGAGGCGCTCACACCTGGCGGTCCGGTAGGTGTCAGAGGAAGAGACGGGAGCTGGTGACCATCGCACGCCTCAAGGCTACGGCTATACGCGCTTAGGCGGACCTGTAGGTCGCGCAGAACCTGAGGCACGTACCCATCGCAGCCGGAGGGTTGCTCGACGGGGTGATGGGTGAGACAAGCGACCGTGGACTCACTGAGTCCACAGAAAGCAGAGGAGCTGGAGGTAGACCAAGGGTCATCCACGACTGGTGGACTCTCATCACATACGTCTTCAAAAGAAACCGTCGTGATTTTTCCTGGTCCGGGTACCTTTAGGGAGTTGTCGATCAGCAGTGAGGTGGGTGGGGAGGGGTATCGGTCATCTGATTTCATTTGACCTTAGCTGTTCCTATGCCAAAAAAGCTCGGAGGACTTACGAGAGAAGGAGCCCAATACATGCGCGTGCTCAAGCGGCTCTACAGTTGACCAAATTCAGAGGGCGGTTGTGGTGAAGTGCTTCAAGAACTGAAAAGTCAGAGGACCAGTGGGTCAAAGAGAAAGAAACTTACCAAGGAGGTGCGACCGTTGTGCAAGGGACAGATAGAAGGGTTGCTTAAGAGGACAGGGAACGACCGTTGGATGGGAATAATTCACTGTCAAAGCGTGCTGGTTGACCACCATTCGAAAGAGTTAACCGCAGTTATCCCGATGGGCCGCGGTTGCTCAAGATGGACCCCAGTCCTTCAAGATCGACCCTGGTATATCATTGGTAGACCTCAGTCTTTCATAAATATAGACCTTGGCCCTTCGGTCGATGGACTATCAGCTCCGGTCCCTGAAGGTCGATCTTGGACCTTTGTCAATAAACCTCGGTCCTTCGTTGATAGACCTTGGCCCTTCGGTCGATGGACTCTCGGCCCCGGTCCCTGAAGTTTGATCTTGGTCCTCCGTCAATGGACATCGGTTTTTAGTCGATAGAGATTGGCCATTCGGTCGATGGACTCTAGGCCCCGGTCCCTGAAGGTCGACCTCGGTCCAGAGGTCCAAATACCTTAGCCAAGCAGAATCAAGAATCAGGTCTCGGGGTAAAGATAGAGTAAAGGAGTTAGAAAATACGACTATATTAAATGCTACTCAATTTGCAATCTACATAGCACGCCTTCGTCGTGCTTACAAGGAATCTACTAAGTCTACTCATCGGTTCCGGGAAGAGATACATCTTGCCTCCCCCCCTCGTCGAAGACAGTTTTGTGGTAAGACCCAAGTGCAAATAGAGCCTCAAGATACAGTTGTCCTGTGGGTTCGTCTGAGTAGCACCCCCCAACTCAACGCGCTATCGGCGGGCTGTTCTCCCTACCCTAGTGGTCCGGGAGCAAGTAAAGGCCAGGCGGTTAACACCCCTGAGGTATCAAGGAAGGAAAAGGCCAGGGATGAGAATATCCCCTGAAGAATTTGGTTGTAAGTCCACCCTCGACCTAGTCGACCGAGTGGCCACCTACCAGCCTACCGAGCTAAGTATATCCACTCGAGGCACCCCAAGGTCGACCTCGTCCAAGGCCGACATCATATCTCAACCAAGTCCTCCGAAGAGTGCAACCCGCCAGCCGACGGGTACACAAGGTGAAAGAAGGTCAAAACGCGGCATCGTGGTACCCATCCGACAGTCGGCAGTCCGGCACAGTAAGTGACTTGGGGTCTCATTACGCAGTTTTGAGAACACACTCCGCCTTACATCTTCTAGATATTCCTGGTTGTATTTATAGGACACTGATGAGATATTTGTTTTCCTTACCTCATTGGTCTGCACGCTCACTACGGGTGGTCGCGTTCTGAGATTGTCATCAGTTACTGATTCATGAATCACCAGCCTAGCCGGGACCATATTCTCCTGAATGTGATTGAGGAGACAAGCCTCATAATGCAGGAACGCATTAGGATGTGCGATAATCGTATTCGGCCCTTGATTTGCAGAGCTAATTCGCAGAGCCTCCATATTTTCTAGACCAACAAGTAAGGTCAGCTTGTGTAAGCGATGATTGTTGGTCCTCAAAGAGATAAGCAATTTTGCCCCATCTTCTCAATGAAGCAGTCGAACGGCTCGGTAGTGAAGTGACTACACGTGCTGTTAAGTGCATTGGGGCTGCAAATCTCAAGTGCTAGAGGAAGACTTAGACTCGGAGAGCTTTTTGGCTGTTAGAAGTAACAATTCTGTATCAATCAACGGTCAGAGACCCAAGATATACATACGCCTTAACTATAATGTAGACTAAACTTTATTACTGCTTGCAGCTACCGCTTATTGGCCAACATGCAAGCTTAGTTATAGGCTGGTAAAGTTATGTAATTTATGTAACTGGTACCCCCTCCTACGTGGTGTGTACATTGTGTGCTTCTTACTTACGTGTCCTTCACATCATAACGAAACGTGTACCAGTACAGATGTTATGTTGTTATAGTGGTGTGACCACGATGGTGCTATGCAGTGTCGCTACTACTGCTTTGAAGTACCGCGTCCTCGCATTGTAAATGACTATATTAGTAATCGCAAAACGACCCAATGACATACTGCTTGTATATTGTGCATGGCCTTCTGCTCGTCACTCATATCTCTGATATTCCCTACCTTTAAAAATTGAAATCAAAGAGAGCAGGAGTCAAATCGTTTATCGCAATGCGCATTTCTTGCTGTCACGTTGCATGCACCTTGTATTCTCTCATTTAGATTTATGGTGTTGGAACTCTATCATACTTAATTTCTTGTCACGACCATCGCAGGCATCCCAATTATGCATCTAAAACTCGGATTCAGCCATAACCAAAGCAAAGCGTACTGTGCTCTTCTTGAAACCTGCATACATACGGCAGACCACTAATGGGCTTTCTTCCAACTTTTCCTCCAACTGCACGTCCGATGCTTCTATATTATCCTCGCCGACCGATAAATCGTCGAAGTGGTAATTTCGAAGAAATGGACGAGGGCAAATGCACCGCAACACATACTCACGCTGAACAGGTACAGTCATGGGTCCACTCTCAGCAAGTGGTGGGTTAGACAACACAATCGCAGCCACTAGCTGTCGCAAGTCATCATTCTTTAACAAATCGGACATTTCTGCTTGTTGCCGGCGTGAAAGTGACGGCAGCAGGAGGAGATTCACAAGGGAAAATGTCCTCTGTTCCTCGTTTGAGGCCAGAAAATAGTGCAGTAAAGCCATTGCCTTCGTCACCAACGCTTCTACTGCTTCAAGTGAGCGCACAAGTTTCCAACACGCATCCAACGCCATTTCAAATGCAACTTGGAGCTGCTGACCTTGACGGGCTGCTGCTATCGACTGTTCGTGATCATTATTGAGCTGTTGCTTGCTCCTGCCAGCAGCAGGAAAGGCCACTTGTGACTCTGCTAAAGCTTCATCCAGCAATGCAATAGCGCGAGTTCCACAAGAACGAAGACTTTTTAGCGCGCGATAAACCACTGGTAAGGTCTGAGACGACACCTGCACGGGCAATGCGGTCTCTAGAGCAAACAAACTACTCGAAATCGCGCCTGCAAGCATTTGGTGAAAAAGTTCGTGAGGTGATAGTGTCTCCATGTAGTGAAAAACTTTCTCTGACTCTTGCACTGGGTCAAACGACCGTTTCTGGCGACTTGCTGGCACCGGGTCACTTGTTTCCCACATTCGTTGCCATATATGCTCGTGACCTGGTCCAAAACGCATACGCTCCGATAGCATACCATGTCGTTCAAACCACCACACTCCCCGTCCTTCGACTGGCAACCCAGACGCCGATGGGTCAATTGAAGTCTTAAAGGGAATCCAGTCTTTTGGCGAATACCAACGGATAAAGTCTGCAAGGCAGCAACGTGGATTGGCAGCTTTGAAAGCCTGCATATCCGAAATCAATGTCGTGCTCTGGATTTGTTGCCGTAATTTCTCGGACTCCACACTCACGCCTAAGCGAGTAAGGAGGTCTTGCTGTTCCTTCGCTACATCTTCTGTTATTGGTACAATCGTCTGGGTCGCAGGTTCCAACAATGGCTCATTTGTCTGAAGACAAACAACTCCAAATGCTTCGTGAAGAACACCCTCAGGATGCTTTGATGCTTGAGGCGGTAAAGGCGAAGAAACGTTTTCATGTTCGATCGAGTCATAAAATTCGTCGTCGCTTAGACTGCCATCTGCTTCATCCTTGCCTTCCTCACTCTCCGCTACGGGTGGGCTGTGCGTAGTAGCATCTTCAACGCCAGTACTTTCTCGTCTCTTGTAGTCCGTGTTAACCCTGCCGACTGAAGCTGACTTTGATTCTTGAGCTTTTCTACAGTACAAGTAAACAGATTTAAAGATTATGTTAGCCTAAAGCGCTTGATTCCTACTTGAGCACAAGATTTATAAACAATATCCGTATCACCTGAAAATGCAACAATTAAGCAATTGAAGCTTCTGGTGCAAAAGGCACTGGCGAAAGTCTGGTGAAGGGAGCTGAATCGCATCGGATTCCAGTAAAAACAATGTGTTTAAAGAATGCGGGCTTGTCTTGTGGTCACCACCTTCGTCTGTGCTGGTGTTCTTCACGTTCAGCAGCATTTTGACACCACATAAACGTCAGTTGTCATGGTGAAATCATGCGGCAAGAGAAACCTTACCATGAACGGAAGTAGTTCCTGTTTAAACCACCGTTCTCTCAACGCTTTTACAAATTCAACCCACAATAACGACATAGAATTGATACTGTCTGCTCATCAACACCGTTCGTAAGCGCATCATTATGTCTACCATGCAGGACGATTTAGCTGAATGCACTTACGTAGTTGCGACATCCTTGTCGCCAAAATAGACACAAGTTCTCCCAACGGTGCACCATGCTGAATTGAAGAGATGCTCGTCATTGCAGCACCTACATTGTCATTAAGCCTGCGACTGTATTCTTCATTTTCACCACCATCTTTATCTTGTTCGTTTTCGCCATCATTGAACAACTCTAACACAATCCGCCGAATTTCCTCTACGTCGGAGCCTTTCCACGAGGCAGCAGATACAAAGCTTGAAATGGCATTGCTAAGCACAACAGCTGCGCGGGCGGCAGGGATGGACTCCGGAATAGTTGACGAAAGCTGTGTTTGAGCAGCCTCACCGCATCGACCGGCACTTGGTGTATTTAGTGCCTTAGATGGTGAAAATATAACTGGCATTGGAGGCGACAACTCGGATACCATAATGTCCTTGTGCAACTCTCTGGAGTTGGAATAAACTTGCACAAGGTTTGCGATTCGCTTGCAGAGCGGCAATCGCGGTTTTCTCTGGTTTTCAGACGTCAGGTCTTGGAAACGCACGGTCAACATCCACAAAGGTGCTAAACAAGGATCCAGTGTTGAGTGCACCGCGTTGTCTACGTACATACCTTCACGCAGCTGTGGCCAGCTAACTGTAAGATCAATTCCATCCAAAGGAGAAGTGGAGCTACCCAGCAATGGAATAGGGTGGTTTTTGCCAAAGAGCTTATTTCTGATTCGGTGAATTTGGCTATCAGTCTCAGTCAACTGCTGGGATTCCACTGATCTCCATGCCAACGGATTCTCCGGTATCACCACCTCACGTGGATCACTCGCTCGATTCCATGAAAAGGCAAACGATGCTGATACCGTCATACTAATTGCAAGGTCCTCCGACTTATCTGTCTCAATACGACACTTTTCTTCCACGTGCGGCGACAACTGCAACTTGATTTTGAAAAAGTCAAGCAGACCGCTGATGCAGCTTTGATTGAAGTTCAGTTCAGAAATAGATTCTGTTTCAAACGACATCGATATGTTGCCTGTGGCTCCAGGAACTGCTACTCCAATCCACGTGCCACGAGACGGCTCAAACATTGGTACAAACGCGGGAATTGTGCAATTACAGTTGTTCAGCGCCATGTTCAGCGCCGACAGCAGCATCCCTGTTTCGTTCTGATTAACTGAAATATCGGCCATGACGCTTTCATCTTGTTCGTTGCAAACGTCCTCCTCTCTTTCACTCTGGAATGGCTTTCTTTCCATTGAGTTCCTTAATACCCTTCCATCATCGTCTCCATCATTCTTAACACTAGTTTCTCTCGCATCCTCCTGCTGCTGCTTTTCCGTCCCATATGAAGACGACTTGTTTAGTAACAAAAACTCATCCAGCCCAAACCATTTTTGAACGTTCTTAAACAACTGTTGCCGATTGAATTGCGGCTTCACGTCGTCCTCGAACGCCGACGCGTAGGGCGAGACACTCGTTCCTGTCTCCTTTTCCTTCTCAATCTCTCTCATTTCCCACTGAAAGTCTTTACTTGCATCACCTACTGAAAGCATTGTAGGTGTAAAATGCTCAAGCCCTTTTTGCCATTTCTTGAAGTTCCAAGTAGCGTTTCTAACGGGAGCATTAGGTTCCTCATTCTGCCGTGTGTCGTGGTGTCTGGCTACAAACAATGCCAATGTATAGCCGTTACGCATCTTGGTTCCTGGAAATTGAAGTTGCAGCTTCTTCACCCACACAGCGGCGTCTAAAGCTGCAGCTTGGCGTTGCTTTTGAGGTGGTAGCCGTTTTGCAGGAATGGCATTCAGCGTCTCGAGCGATGCATGGCCCTTATTGTCCAGATGCCAACCTATCAGAGCCTGTTCTATATCCGAGATGAACTGCTCCAGGTCTGTTGCGTTTGTAAAGTCGACAAATTGGCTGCTCGGGTCTTCCTCCACCTGCATTGATCGCTTTAGGGCGGAAGAAACGGGATCTGGGGAAATTTAGGCGAATACTTTAAAATCTAAGAAATAAGATGTTTGTAGAAAACTAATTTGAGGCGATGATTGGTCAAAAAGAGGTCGTATGTCTAAGAACGAGGGTAAACATTGGTCAAAAAATTCAACTTGGAGCCATTAGCTCTAGACGGCGTGCAGGTAAAAAGCAGTATATCAGGTGGGAGCAGATCGCAAAGTCGGAGCTTGTGCTGAGTAGGGCCGCAGATAAATCTGTAGTTACCGGCTAGCTAAGACGTGATCTAGGCAGCAGCAAAAGGAGTAGGAAAAGAGTCGAAGTTAGAGAACGACTACAGACGAGTATTAGGAGAATGTGAACGTGAAGATGAGGGAAAAACTAATACAGAATATTTATGCAGAGCTGTAAGAGAGAATGATCCTTACTTCATTTTCCATAGATCCATATCGTATTACTCATTCCACGCCAGCAAGCGTGTAGATCAGCAGTGTAGCAAAACTGTGTACGCACGAGGTGCAGGCAAAGACAAGCTGTAACAGTTACACGAAGGTGTGTATGTAAAATACAGTACCTTGGGTACAAGAGTAGGTGATGTGACCGTTACCTGAAGTACAAAGAGAAGCATCTGGCAGGCCACTCCACTATACTTATTTGAAAGTATAGTGACTATGCGTAGTTGCATAATAATTAAAGGCTAAAGAGCCAGTAATAGTGACTAGCACTAAGTATAGGATAGGTGCTTCTATATTTTAGTGTTCGAAGATAAACATAAATATAAATCAGTTTCAAACCTGCTCTATAAGCATCACTGCTTGAGCGTACTATTTCTCCTGAGGAATCGTATCATTGATACTAGTCTCTTTGAGACACGGTTACAACAACCGATAGGCACAAGCTTACGAGCTAGCCTAGGAGGGTTTAGCACCCGAAGACGTAGAAGCTCTCTGAGCTTGTCTTCCTCTGCAAGTGCATAAGTAGCTTTGCTACAGTAGTTTGACTACTTCTGCACATAGTGCATCTGTACATAGTGCATAAGTAGCGAAGCTACAGTACCTCGGCTACACCTAGTAGCTCTTGTAATCAATCCCACACCTGGGTTGCGACTACTTCTCTGTGTGAGAATGGACATCGATGAGATGTCAGCAGCTGGCCTGTCACAGGCACAACAGGAAGGGTTGCAGAAGCTGCTCCCTATCCTTGGCCCTAAGGGCGTGGAATACCTCATCGCCCAGGGCGAAGAAAAGGTTAACAAGCGTATTCATATGCTTGATGAATAGGATAAAGCTCTAGTCGAGCATGTAAGGGCACAGATGCCTTCTTTTGCGCCTTCGCCCATGGCGACTATGGCGCAAGAAGTGGTCCGCAGACCAGAACCCATACAAATGGAAGTCGATAAGTTCGACGGCAAAAAAGGTGACAGCCTTATGCTTTGGTTCCGACAGATTGAGCCGGCTGTGTTTATGGCCGACATCACCTATGAACCGTACCGTGTGGGCTTTGCCACGGGCAAGTTAGGTGGCTTAGCCAAACAGTGGGCATTCACATGTGGTGCATCATTGCAAGATGCTTTTCCCACATGGGTCGATCTGAAAGTTCAGATGACCGGCAGTATGCACCGCCAAAACAAGCACACCGTAATCGGTCGCGGTTTTTGGCGTGTCGCCAAGGCAAGCGTGAGCTTGCGGCATATGTACAAGAGTTGAGAACTCTCATTGCTGCCATGGTCATAGACTCCTATGCCTGAGGCAGTGACCGTCACGGTCTTTATGGAGGGCCTCCGAGTTGGCGTTGCCAGAACGGAAGTCATTCGGGTAAACCCGTCCTCATTCGAGGAAGCTGTTGGAGTGGCATGGAATGCCGAAACCAACTAGAAGGCCTCTAGGCCTTCCACTTATAACTACTCGTCTGATGGGTCTGTACCCATGGACTGTAGTCAAGTGATGATGAAGAAGCCGAGCTTCATGCTGCGGAGCAGCAACTTGTGCGCAGATGTTGTATCTGCAAGAGAACAGGCCATTTGATGGCAAAATGCCCTGCAAGAAAGGCATATTTGGCCTCGAAGGGCCGAAGCCCCATGGGTAAACCTTCTGGTTTGCCGCGGGGAAACGGCGGAGCCCAGTAGGCGCGGGGCGCCCTACTGGGGAAGAACTGAGTTCTGTTGAATCTCTAGGAGGTAGAAGCAAACAGGGCCCAGCCCCAAAGAGATCCGAACTCTCAAAAACGAAACGAGAATGCAAGCCAGGCTTGCTAGCCGTCGAAGGGACGATTAAGGGCTATGATAAGCATGGATCATTTTACTCGATTCGGGGGCATCGGGCAATTATGTGCGCCGTGCCACCGCGGAAGGTATTCAGCAGTATGCTGAAGCGCTTAAAGCGCGTGAGAGTGACACAATTATAGTTCGCTTAGCAACAAGTACGCGTGTTACGGTACCCAAAGTCCCGATGGGGGCTTGTACAGCCTTGAAGGAGATGACGAGCCTGAATCGCTCGAGTCGATGAAAACCTCTTAACACGGTACCGCACCGTTCGAGGCAAAACGACGAATCATGCATACGCTAACGACGCGCTGCAACAGTCTTGGTGTGCCTTTATCAGACACTGGAACGCGAGCCGACGTGAAGGAACAACTGTGGTGGAGTGGGTACTCAAAACTGCGTAACGAGACTCCAAGTCACTCACTGTGCCGGACTGCCGACTGTCGGAGGGGGTACCCTGATGCCGCGTATAGACCTTCTCTCACCTTGTGTACCCGTCGGCTGGCGGGTTGCACTCTTCCGAGGACTTGGTTGAGATGTGGTGTCGGCCTTGAGACGAGGTCGACCTTAAGGTGCCTCGAGTGGGTATACTTCACTCGGTAGGCGGGTAGGTGGCAACTCGGTCGACTAGGTCGAGGGTGGACTTATAACCAAATTCTTCAGGGGGATTATCAACCCTGGCCTTTTCCTTCCTTGATGTCTCAGGGGTGTTAACCGCCTGGCCTTTACTTGCTCCCGGACCACTAGGGTAGGGAGAACAGCCCGCCGATAGCGCGTTGAGTTGGGGGGTGCTACTCAGACGAACCCACAGGACAAATGTATCTTGAGGCTCTATTTGCACTTGGGTCTTACCACAAAACTGTCTTCGATGAGGGGGGAGACAAGATGTATCTCTTCCGGAACAGGTGGGTAGACTTAGTAAGTTCCTTGTGAGCACGACGAAGGCGTGTTATATAGATTGCAAATTGAGTAGTATTTAATATGGTCATATTTTCTAACTCCTTTACTCTATCTTTACCCCCGAGACCTGATTCTTGATTCTGCTTGTCGAGGGACCGAGGGGTCGGGTGACCAAGGGGCCCTGTCACCGAGGGGCCGGGTGACCGAGGGACCCAAGTCTACCAACGAAGGACCAGGGTTGACCTCGAAAGACCAGGGTCGACCAACGAGGGACCTGGTTCAACCTCGAAAGACCAGTGTCTACCAACGAGAGGCCAGGGTCAACGTCGAAAAGACTGGAGTCCACCTCGAGGAACTTCTTCAGACTAAGTGCGGTTAACTCCTCTGAATGAAGCACGCTTAAACCGTACAATTTTTTCATCCAACGGTCGCCCCCGTCACTTTTTAGCGCCCCGTCTCTCTGTCCCTAACGGTCGCTCCTCCTTGGTGGGCACCCTTCTCTTTGACCCACCTGTCCTCCGGCCTACCAATTCTTAAAACGTTTCACCACAGCCGCCCTCTGCACTTGATCAACGGTACAGCCGCTTAAACACGCGCATGTCTTCGAATCCTCCATCCCGTAAGTACTCCTTGTTTGTGTGGTCGTTTGATATACGTCGTCTGACTTGACGCATCTCAGCTGTTCCTTCCTCTGGGGTAGACGCAATGGCCGAGGGACCGGTCTTTAATACTCCTGCTCTTGCCGTTGACCCAGAGGCCCAGGTTCCTCCCAAGCACCGATCGACACTCCTCTCCAGGTGCCTGGGCCAAGGGAGTCTACCGTGGTTCCTTCTGAGGTCGTAGGTGGCGAGGGTCTCCCAGACGTGGATTGCCCTCAGTCGGCCTCTAGCTCCTCTGCTGTGGTGGACCCCGTGGGGACAGTCGCCTATGTCTCGCCCGTTGTTCCGTCGAGTGCTCTTCCGTCTACGATGGGCGGTTACCAGGCCTCAGGCGCTCGCGATTTGCAAGATCGTCTAGATGCATATAGCCGAGGACTTGAGGCGTGCGAAGGTCGACCTACTGCCGTCCTCACCCCCGACGCCTACTGGATCACCCTGTGTGAGCTACTTGAAAGAGAGCTGCAAGACACCCGCCGCCTCGTGGTTCAGTTACGCGAAGATCACCAGCAAGAGAGATCACTGGCGGAGCATTTGCGGTGGCGGATGGACTACCACCAGAGCCGCTACGCTCTCATGATGGCGGAGTTGGATCACGAGGATTTCTTCACGAGTCCCTTACAGGATCTCGCGGCTCCTCCCGTGACTGCTCCCGCAGTACCTCCCACCGCGGTGACGGTTAAGCGACATTTCCCGGCCAAGGCGACCGCTAAGGTCCCCAAGGCCGCCAAGTCAAGTACCCCCAGCACTCCCGCTTCGTCGGCGCCCAAGTCGGCCCCCCCAGGCTCTACCTTTGGTACCCTGTCCGGACCCGGATGATGACACTGCAAGTGACGACAGCGAGGTGGTCCGGACGACCTTGGCTCGAACGCGGTCTTCCCGGCGTCGTACCACGCCTACCGACCCGCCGCTCCCAGCTGTCTCCGCTGACTCTGTCTCCCGACTGGTCACTCACCCAAGTCCAGAGTTATTCCGCGCCATATTTGGATCTTCGGACTCCGAGGTCCAGTCGGTCCCGGGAGAGAAGGCTCCAGCCTCAGTCACCAAGGAGGACTCCTCCCCCAGGCAGTCACCAAAACTTACGAAGGGTGACTTCATCCCTGGGTACATCCAAGTAAAGTTATTCACTGCAGTGGAGGTGCAGCTCGTTGGTGTCGTGACGATGACCTCCAGCAAC